GACAAGCTAGGCTTGGACGGGTTCAGGTTTAAACTTACGGTGTACTTGTGTGGTTTAAGGGTGTGGTTTTGTCATGGTGGTTCACATTTATTCGGCTTTGTGTTGGGTGTATACTATGATATGTTCCCGTTGAGGAGTTTATAGGGTTCAGGTCTTGCAGTTTGTTTCTTTAGCTGCTTTCCATGAAAGTCCATATACACGACCATTATGGAGTTAGGCCACGAGGTCCCAAAAACCATGATGGGGATGGTCTTTTGGGACCTAGTTCAATATTGGTAGTTTCTTTGGACCCTCTGGCTTTAGATTTTTTGCTGAAGTGCTCTAAACCCTAAACCCTAAACCCTAAACCCCAAACCCTAAACCCTAAACCCTAAACCCCAAACCCTAAACCCTAAACCCTAAGCTCAGACCGAGGCTTTCGGGGTGGAGGGGCTGAAGGCTCTGGTCGTAAGCTTAAGGGTCCAAGGGATATTACTGAATATATAGCAACCAACATAATTCCAATTACGGATAGACAATCCTATACTAATAAACAGTTACCTTTAGATTCATGTCGTCCAGCTACAGATTCAGGCCTTTCAGAGGGTTCAGCCCTTAACCCTGGCCCCTAATTAAGCCCTAAAGCCCTGAAGCCCCAAACCTAAGACCTTACAACCCTAAGCCCAAACCCCTAAACCCTAAACCTAACCCCTAACCCCTCATCCCTAACCCTAAACCCGAAACCCTACACCCGAAAAAAAACACCTACACCCGAGACGAAGCTCACCGAGGAAGCTTGTGGTCACTGTGGCCGCCATTAGCGAGGCGAAGTCTGTTGGCGTGGAGATCAGCCCATCAAGGTCCCAATGGCTGAGGGTTTTCGGGATTAGGCCTTTTCTGGTTTCGGGTTTAGGGGTTTAGGGGTTTAAGGGTTTAGGGTTTTGGGTTTTAAGGGTTTAGGATTTAGGGGTTTAAGGGTTTACGGGTTAAGGGTGTAGGGGTTTAAGGGTTTAGGGGTTTAAGGGTTTCGGGTATAGTGGTTTAGGGTTTAGTGGTTGAGGGTTTCGGGCTTGGGGCCGCAGAGCTGAGGTTGTCAAGTTCAATTCTGCTCGAGGGGACCCCAAACGGCTGAACCCTAACCTACCATTTTTTACCGTCTCCCCTACAGTAGGTTTTTGGGATTCCCGGATCTGGATCCCCTTAAACCCTAAACCCAAATATCCTGAAGATCCCCCAAACCGGACCGTACTTGGAGGGTCATTGGACCTAGTAACTAAGGTTACACCCAGGTTATAAGTACACTAAATGGAGTTGTAAGTAATTATAAGCATAACTACCGTAGTTATAACCCTAGTTACTAAGTCCAAACATCCTCCAAGTATGCCCTCTCCGCGCCAGGCCCAACCCTAAACCCTAATTTTCTGAAGATCTTCGATTCCGGACCGTACACCTAAACCCTAAACCCTAAACCCCTAAACCCTAAAACCCTAAACCCTTAAACAGGCATGCCCTTGGCCAGCAGGGCCTTGAAACTTTGCGCCAGCGCGGCGCGCTGACGGATGCCGAGGCACACTCCGGTCTTTCCCCTTTCGGTTTAGGGTTTTTGGGGGTCTATATAAGGTTTAGGATTTGGGATTTTAGGGTTTAGGATTTGGGGTCTATGAGGTTTAGGATTTGGGGTTGTAGGGTTTAGGAGTTGGGATTTTAAGGCTTAGGATTGGGGGGTCTGAGTCTATAAAGTTTAGGTTTTGAGTCCATAAGGTTTAGGATTTGGGATTTAGGGCGTAGGGTTCAGGGTTGCATGTGCTTGGGAAGTTAGGAGTTGAAAGCCACTTCGAGTCTCTGGTAACAGTAACATAGGGGCCTTGATAATTAGTCATCCTATTTTTTGGGGTTCCTTATTATAATTATAGTATAATGGGCCCCAAAACCCTATTCTGATTATTACGGCCCCTATAGTATGGGCTTCAGGTTGAATCATCGGGCGTGCATGTTGAAGTGTTGCTTGCCTGGCCTGTGCTCAGGTACACTTCTCAATGTCAGCGAAGACCCGAACTACATGGGTGGTTGTCAAAATGATGGTTCCTTTTTGGGTCCCTATTTTAGTACGGCACCTAATATTTAGGGTACCCAAAAAGGGACCCTAATTTTGACAACCCCCCCCACATGAGTGAGTCAAGGGGTCTAAGCTTCGGGATGAAGTTTCCGGTTTGTGGATTTGGGATAGTTCCACACGGCAAACACATGGGTAGTTGTCAAAGTTAAGGTCCGTTTCTGGGTACCCTAAATGATAGGTGCCTAATTTTGACAACAACCCACATGAATCTACATGCTCGGTCTGTACAGAGCACAAAGCTTGCAAGGAGGAAACTGACCCTCTTCTGTCAATGCTGGGCAACGTACTTTGCGGGCGGTGCTTCCTCAGGAGCTGTGTAAAATCCAATCCATCCTCATGCCTGTAGTGTAATATTACTGTTAATAGAATTATAGTATACCATTATAGTCGTACTATAATGATAGTAGTGTAGTATTATTATCGTAGAAGTATAATAATAGTCACATGTGTTCGAGTGGGGGGGGGAGGGGTCAGATATTTCCCAGCCCTGTCCTCCGAGGCCTCGGCCCTACAACCCTGCTGCTGATTTCGATTTATTTTCGAAAATTAGGGGTGCCTTGTTTTGGGGTTCTTATAATAAGGATCCTACTAGTTAAGCTGCTATATTCAGGTCCCCTATCTTCGGAAACCGGTTCGCGGAGAGACCCGAAATCCGCACTGATATCGAACATCAGGGATTCGATCATGAATATTTGGGGCTCGATAGGCTATACCGTAAACCCTAAACCCCTAATCCCTAAACCCTAAACCCCTAAACCCTCGGTACCTTACATACTCTGGTCGGCAAACCCTAAACCCTAAACCCCTAAACCCTACACGCTAAACCTTAACCGCAAAAGCCTTGAAGCACCTGGCAGGCTAAGAGGGTGAAGCTTTTCTGCGCTGACTGCGGCGAATCGCTGCCCGAGGAGGTCTATGTGGGTAGTTATCAAAATTAATATCCCTTTTTGGGCACCCTAAATATTAAGTCTAGGTGCCGTACTAAATTAGGGACCCCAAAAAGGGGACCATAATTTTGACAACCACCCATGTGTAGCATCTTCAGGGCTGGAGTTGAGGGAAACTCCTTAGAAAGGTATCTGATCTGATGTCTCGTGGGGTCATCTGCAAGTGCTTCGGGTTTTTACGGTCTAGCTTTGCTGTTCCGGTGTTTTTTTGACCTGGGCTTCCGGTGTGCCATTCTTCCGACAGCTGCTAAACTTCCCAACAGACGTCTACAAAGAAAGCAGGTGCTGCTAGATTCTACGTGCGGCTCCACTCCCAGCTGCCGCCCTAAGTTGCCTTTGGCGCTGGGTTCATCACCAATATGGGAATGCCAGCATCAGCTCTGGACCGACACGCCTATCAGCTCTGGCCCCTGCAGCTGGAGAAGCTGTAACGGGACGGGCATGTGAACGACAAGGAGCATACAGCTCGTGAGAACCGGCCAAGGCCGCATGAACAACATGTTCGTTGAGCAGGTTACAACCCCAGACCCTCCAAGTCCGCAGCCCGAACACAAGCTCTTTAAGACTAAGTCCGCTGTCACGACCAGGTTTTGCAGGCCTCTCACTTCATCCTTACGATGCGCAGGCTCTGTGCTCGGAAATGAAGACAGCTGTTCCTCACGGATCTTCATCATCACCTCCAAGATAATTGAGCTCCTGATTTGGGGTTAGGGGGTTATGAGTTATGAGGGTTTACGATCCAGGGTTTAGGGTCTAGGCCAAGGGTTTGGGGTTAAGGATTTCGACTGTGCAGGTTTTACAGCGTCGAAATGCAGTTACACTTTTCAAGATGCTCCTCCGCAAAGCCGTTTCCTATGAACGGAGACAAAGAGACGGACTCGTCACACCCACAGACAGAGAGACCGACACGCCTGCCTACCTACCTAATTACCTGGCGACCGACCTACCTACCTACCTACTTGGAAGGGCAGGGGACTTAGTAAGTAGGTTATTATTACAAGTAGGGTTATAATTGGGGTAACTCCATTTAGGGCACTGAAAACTCTACTTATAACCTACTTACTAAGTCCCCTGCCCTTCCAAGTACCTATCCACCTCTGTTGTCCATTGGCTTGTCCCCCAAGCCATACTAAGGAGCAGTCGTGCTGCAAACAGCTTGCGCAAGGCCTGGCACAGCTGGGGTCTACCTCGGTTATGCGGATTCATTAGTCGCAAAGGTTGGCAGGCGGGTTGAGACCCGACAACGCTTGAAACCTAGGAACTTAAATCGCTGAGCACCAAACCAAAATGCGCCTAGAAACCCAGTGCAGAAGCAAAGCAACGCAGCAACTTGCTAGACGTGCAGCTGCGCTTCCAGGTTACCCCAGTTTTTTGTTGCGGAACCTCATGCTGCATAGGGCCTCTAACTCTAACTAAATGCTGATTCCTAAACAACCCTAAACTGGCCCCCTAGGGCTGCCACGATATACATACATATATACATATATATATATATATATATATATATATATGCATACACATATGTCTTCTTAGCCTGCGGCCGAAATCCCTTCAGGGTTTAGGGTTCGGGGTCCCGTTGCTGTCAGACGATGTCAGATGTGTTTTAACCAGGAGAGGCCCTAAACCCCCAAAAAGGCCTATTATATAAACGCTTAAGTAGGGCTTGCAATCGGAAGTGCAGGTTTTCATGCAGACCACGCTTTTGAAGAGGACCCTATATGGTAGTATGCCATAGTGCCCTTATCGATCCCTCATAGTAACCCTTATAGACCCCTTCAAAGGACCCTCCAAAATAGTACAGGCAATTATTAAGGCCCCTTGAAGAGGCCCTTTCGACGGCCCCGCCTCTGGCCAACGGCCCGATCCTTGCTTGACGGGAGTGGCAAAGGGATTTGGGTTCCCTTTAAGGGTTCCTGAAAGGGCTCTACAAGGGATCAGGGTTCTATAATATAGGGGCCTTAGTAGGTAAAATAGGGTTATGGTGTCTGTTCTAGCAACTCAAGGGAACACGGTGCATTGCGATTGCTAATGGTTCAGGCCCCTACATTGGGGGGGGACAGTGGTTTTCGTCGTTTGCTGTTGCTGTTCTTTTCAATCGTAGGATTATTTTTTGCAGATCGGAAGGTTTAACAAAGCATTACATTCTGGGATCGCGAGGCTGTATCAGCTAGTCACATTGAGCATAGTCTGTCAAAAAACAGGATGCAAGGAAGACTTTTCACAGTGCGGCGTGGGCCTTCACAGCTCCCCCAGCCGAACCTACACGATTACCAGTTGTTTTTTTGTGTTTTTTGCTGGCGGTCCTGATTATACTTATAGTATGCTTATATACTATAGCACAAAACCCTATTCTAATTATTGAGACCCCTAATTATATCTTGAGAAGTCGCAGCTGCCTGTTCCTGTTTTGTTGTGTCAGCTTTGGTCATGTCGGTCCGAGTTAGAGGTTTCGGGCCGAAAAAATGAGAAATGAGGGTTTGGGGTTTAGGGTTTAGGGGGTGGCTGCGGGTTGTGAAAGTGCATGAGGTTTTGACCTCAGTCTGCGCGCTTGTAATAGGCTTCATAAAGGTGCCTTGCTTGAAGGATCATGGGACTCAGTAGCTAGGGTTATAAATAATGTATCTATACTTATCACTCCAATTACGGTACTTATAACCTCATTTACTATAGGTCCATTAATCCCCCAAGTACAGGCATGTATACTTGTGTACGTACACATACTATATGCAGAGCATATGCTTAGGAAGCTTTCGTGTCTTGTTTTGCCCGCTTGCCATGCACTCGAAAATCGACCCTGTGCTGCTGACCCTGTCGGCTGACCAGGGCGTAAGCTCTTGAGTGGAACCATGGGGCAGTAATATAAGGGCCTTAATAACCACCTGGACCGACTGGCCAATGTCTAGTTGCCCTCAGACATCGGATTTCAAGCCGCACGACACATCAAAAACCCTGTTTGTAACGCAGAAGCCCTCCCCCTTTTCAATTAAGTCCTAGCTTCCTAAACCCCATAAGCCCTACACTCTCAAAGCTGCTACTGTGTTAAAGTATATGGTTGCGTGGTGAGAAGAGCATTTAGCAATTTAGCATTTCCGGGTTTCCGGATAGAGGTGTCTTCCTGCCATGGTGTCACCCACCGAAGCTAGCAGCGACGACAGCGAGCAGGAGGCACCAATTGTCAGTTCTTCTACTCTTGAGGCATTCATAATTACCGGTACTATTCTGGGGGTCCCTTATTCTAATATAGTATAATGGGCCCCAAAACCCTATTCTAAGCATTAAGGCCCCTCTATTACACCTTGTGCATGGATCTACTAGGGTTCAGGCTTCCACTCGAGTCCCAAATGCACAGCACATGTGAGATGCAGTAGAAGCAGCACCCTAAACCCTATCAACTGTAGACTCTCTGCAACAACAACAACAACCACAGCAGCATCCACTAAGCGATTTTCGCTACCATAACGCAAGGGCGAGCACACTCCGACGTTGCTGCTCAGGGTGGCAGCTCGAAGTAGGAGTGGTACAGAGTCGTAGTCGTGGCCGTTGTCATGGTGTTGGTCGTAGTGTGACGGAGGAACAGCAGAAGCTCCGTCATTTGGAGGAGCAGTAGTAGATCAAGAAGAAGAAGAAGAAACAGCAGCAGCAGCAGCAGCAGCAGGACTCACGGCCTCCTCGTCGTGCTCGTCGTCGCACGTAGCAGTTCAGCAGCTGCAGCACTGCAGCAGCAGTCGCAGTCGTTGTGCTCGCCACCGGCTAAAAGCCCTAGACACTTTACTTTAATTACTGTGTAAAGGCACATAATTGGTGTTCCTCATCATTCTTCTAATATAATATACCCCAAACCCTATTGTAAATATTAAGGTCCCTATAGTGTCGCCTATGCCCTCACTGGACCGTCGGCAGGAAGTTCCCAAAGTGTTGCCTCCCGAGGTCCACGCGTGTGTGTCATTTGCGGTTTAAAGTAAAAGCCAGAAAGTTGGAATATGATTATCCTAGACCCTTTATGGTAAATTATAAGGTATCCTACCCTGAAACCATATTCCAACTTTCTGGAGTTCCCTTTATGGGTTCAAGAGCGAGGGGTCAGTTCAAGGGTTCCCTAGGCTCCGGGGTGCTGTCATACAGTAGAAGCCAGAAAGTTGGAATATCATTATCGTAACCCCTTTAAGGTAAATTATAGGGGATCCTACCCTTAATCCATATTCCAACTTTCTGGAGTTCCCTTTAAGGGGCTTAAGAGTCTAAGGGTGCAGTGGGTTTTAGAATTCAGGGTGCGAGGCTCTTGGGTTCACTTGTTTTATGGGGTTCATGCATTTTTTTGGATTTGAGGTGATTTGGGGATGTGGCATCAAGGGTTCGGTTTATAGGGGTTTACGGTTTTGGGTTCGTTTTCAGGTTCTGTACGGGTTCTATAAGGCCATAAGGACTCTGCGAAGGATTCTGTGAGGGTTTGGGGATGGGATGCAAAGGTTCAGTTCTTATTTGTGGATAGGGTTGTGTTCTGGGTGCAGATTTGTGGTCCTCAGGTTTTGCATTCAAGCATCGTGATGTTGCAGCGTACCGGAATTTGTGGTTTCAAGCATAATGATTTTGCAGCTTAGTCCTGAAGCCTAGAACCGTATGAATGAAGCCTAAACCCTAATTCAGCTGAGCAGCGTTCTTGGGCCTTGGGTTCGGACACCCTAAATTCTAAACCCTCAATCCTAAACCCTAAACCCTTAAACCCTAAACATGATATCCAGAACCAGGGTCGTGAGGGTAATTAACCCATGGTGCTTAGTAACCCTTACATAGTCTGATTCCCATCGTTTTTGGTAACCGTTTCGGAAACCATCATAGTGTAGGGGCTTGGATAGTTACCTATACTATTTTTTTGGGGGGGGGGTCCTTATTACATTTATAGTATAATGGGCCCCAAAACCCTGTTTGACTTATTAAGGCCCCTATAGTAGTGGCCCGTGTCGGGCATGCATAAAGCGGCCTTTAACTAGATTTCAGTCGCCTCCACGGTGGGCTCCCCCAAGACTGAAACTTTAAGATTAATGCTATTGTCAAAGCCTGAAACCAAAAGGCTTGCAAATTGGATCCCCGCAAACACTCTAAGCCCTAAAGGTCCTACAAACCTAAGCCACATAATTATATATATATATATATATATATGTATATATATATATATATATTCATATTTATATCATATATATATATATATAGTTGTGTATGTTGTTTTATACATATCTAATCGCATGGTGAGATGTACTGGTTCTTTTTTTGCATATCAGCCCTGGCCCTTAACGGCCCTAAGCGCAAACAAAAAGCGATAAAACCCGAGTAGAGCAAGCCCGTATAACCTCACGAGACCCTCCCATGGCATGGAAGGCATGGCGACCATGCCCCGATCCAAAGGTATTTAAGGCCAGCTGCCATTGAGGTTTCATCAACAGGTGCTTTCTACAGATCTGCTAGAGTGCTGTACGGATTCTTGAAGGTCCGGCTTCAGGGCTTCAATGGTTTAGGGTTGTTGTTTTTGTGGTTGCCGGTGTTGGTGTTTAAGTTCAGGTTTAAGAGTCACCCTTATAAACCCTAAACCCCGAACCCAGAACACCGGGTGTCTTTCAAAGGGTAACAGGAGGGACCCCTAATAAGGACCCTAGGTATATACCGATAATATATAGCCATTGTATACCCATTATGTAGCTAATATAGCACATTATAGGGTAGGGGTCCCCATTAAGGGTCCCTCCTTTTCCCTTTTGAGTCTTGTCTTCTAAGATTGCAGGGTTGTGCTTGTGGAGGGATCTGGAAGTCGGCCCAGGTCCGGATGCTACTATAAAAGGGCTTAGGGGTTTAGGGCTTATAGGGTGTGGGTTTAGTAAGGGCTTAGGGTTGAGGGGTTTAGGGTTTAGGGTTTTCATCGTAGCCTGAATCATTGTCAATAGTGTTTGTTAGGTCTCGATATTCTGTAATGCTCCCCAAGACCTGTTCTGACTGTTGAGGCTCTTGTAGCACGGTTGTGGTATGTGCGAGACAAAAGGTGGATAAACCCTCGGGCGTTTAGCTAGATTTCAGTTGTAGTGGGCAGTATCTTCTTGCCTGAAAGAGCTCTTGTCAGTCCGAATACTCATTATTACCGCTATCACTGCTAGCATGAATATGATGGTTCTTGCTATTTGTCCTGCCCCGGTCTCCTTGGCCATGAGTTTTCTTCGAAATCAGTTCGTCAGTCATGTTTAAAGGAGGATTGAAACCGAATGCAACCTGGAAAGTTCCTACAAGCCCTAAAACCCATGACCCCAAGCCCTTAACCCTATGTGCCCCAAACCGTAGGCCCTCTAAGCCACAAGCCGCTTGAACCCTGGATTTTCTAAACCATGAAGACTCGGGTTTAGGGTTACTATAGTGGCCTTAGTTAATAATTGCCTACACTATTTTGGGGGTTCCTTATCAGAAGTGAAGTATATTAGGCCCCAAAACCCTGTCAAACGATTAAGGCCCAGTAGTATAGAACCCCACTATAGATCCCTTTAAGAAGCCCTTTAAAGGGAACCCTGTTCTACATATCACCCTAAAGCCTAACCCCTATATTATTAGTTCCTTTCAAGGAACCCTTACAGACCCCTTCAAAGGAACCCCTATAGATTCCTTTAAAGGCACCCTTATAGATCTCCTCCCAGAGGGTCTTAAGTCCCTATGTAGTAGAATGTGGGGTTTCTGTCACTGTATTAGGAATTAGTATGATGGCTTAGGCAAGTATTGCCCATATAGGTTCTTAGGACCCTTTGGGCTTTCAAGGAGCCCCAAACCGTAGATCCATGGGGAACAGGAGGGACCCTTAATAAGGACCCCTAGGTAGTATACCCTTAATATAGCCATTCTATACTCATTATATAGCCCATTATAGTGTAGGGGTCCCCATTAAGGGTCCCTCCTTTTCCCCTTTGATCCACCCTAAACCCTAAACCCTTTATAGAATCCTTATAGATCCCTAGTATAGATCCCTTTAAGGAACCTTATATAAGGGTCCTCATTAAGGGTCCCTCCTTTTCCCCTTTGAGTAGAGCCTGCGACAGGATCTTCTTCTGGAGTGGCGCTGCTTGGAAGAGGCTACAAGAACGGTTTGGCTTTCCTTGCACATGTACCAATACTTGGGAGAGCAGGGGACTTAGTAAGTAGGTTGAAAGTAGGGTTATAATTGGGGTAACTCCATTTAGGGTACTTATAACTCTACTTATAACCTACTTACTAAGTCCCCTGCCCTTCCAAGTAGGGTCCATAGTTCCTTTTTGGGGTTCATATGTGGCATCCTATCATAAGGTAATGTTTGGCTTTCCTTGCACACCCTCAGGGTCCAAGTGCCCAAACAGTAGGGTTTCAAGGTCTTAAAAAGCATTCAGAGTATGGATTTTGGGACCTAAAACCCTACTATTTGGATACTTGGACCCTCTGGGACATGTACCCATAGGCTGCAGAGTAGTTCCTTTTTGGAATTTCCTTATAGGGTTCTAAATATGAAGCCCAAAAAGGGAACTACTCTGGAGCCTTAGGGTATCCTAACGGGCTCAAAGGACATTGTCGGTGAGTAGCGGTTAGTGACTATTTGGGGAAATACATGATTACTATCTACTTGGACCCTTCGCCTAAGTTTGGTTTTGGGATTGGGTGTGCAGGGTGAGGGTTAGGGATAATATGGGGCCTAAATAAATAGCAATACTATTTTGGGGGTTCCTTATTCTAATTATAGTATCGCGGTGCCCAAAACCCTATTCCAATTATTGAGGCCCCAACAGCACTTTAAGGATGACTTTTGGGCTGCTATGGGGGCTACCTTTCAGAGTCGCGGGTTTGGCGGCCTTCGTTGGGTTAACTGCGTTCTCTGGAGTACCATACTTCAATTTTACCTTGTTTGTACCCGTTCCTTAAAGGCGCCGTGATGATATAGCAGTTTACATGTTTCCTCCTTGTAATTCAAAACTGTGGCAGTGAAAGTTCAGGTCTCCGGACCGGGAGGTTGCAATTCTCTCGTGGGGTTCTTGAGTGTACGTGAACCCCACGGAACCTACCTGTTTTAAGGACTTATACGGTGCAGGTCGCTCTTGTGGCTGACTGGTGGTGTCCTAGCGTTGAACCGCTGTCCTGACTGTTCCTCGTCTTGGTGCTCTGAACCCTATGCCCATTTCGTCTAAAGACCTGTCAAGCCAACCAACCCTACAAACCCGGAGAGATCGAGGAAAGCAGTCTGCCTGGTTCACTGCAGAGCGTTCTGGGCCATGGGTGCCCAAAGTGGGACCAATATAAATTTTGAACAATGACCATAGATCTGGCTGCAGGTTGTTCAATCAAGTCTTGGACATTTACTAAAGCTGCAAGTTTGGCCAGGATTATGTCAACGAGCTTCTTCACTTTGTGTATACTGCACTGAGTAAATCCTCAAGACGCCTCGGTTCGTAAGTCTTGGGTCATCAGACAACCCTGCAATGCCTCAACATCCACTCCGGCATTACCGTAGGCCCTAGCACCAAATCCCCACATGCTAAAAGATCCGAGGACACATGACAAAAGCCGTAAACTCCTACGGCGAATCTGTATGATGAAGGATTGGTGAAGCCGGCCCCTACACCTTACAGGTGTCCTATCGTCAAGAGATCGAGGAAGACCTAGATGTTGCTTTTCTGGGATAGCTCTTTTCCTGCACAGTTATGATGCTGGCCACGCAACTGTGCTGCAATCCAGCATCTGGTGCAGTTTCAACTGCCTGCAGGCTGACACAGTGGAGGACGATGAGGAAGAGGTGTCTGCGTTTGAAGCTTTGGGCGCACGGTTTGCAGCTTGAGGGGTTCAGTTCCGGGTGTACGGATTGAGGGCCCGCCAGCGCTCAATTTTCTGCGGCTCTGGTTGTGATCGCCACTTATGTATCCTGAAAAGGTAGGTTCCTTGGGGTCTCAAGGCAGCGCTTGCCTGCAGTCTCCATTATAGTTCTCTTTCCGGTGAGCCTGTGGCATGATTTCTAACCGCAGGATCCTATAGGTCCTAACCATGGTTAACCAACAAAAGGAACTACGATAGAGACTCTAGGTCGTGCTTAGGGCTGGGCTCAGGGCTTCTAATCAAGGTGGAAGATCTGCGGCTTAAGGTTGTCGGGTATTTTCAGGCTCGGGGGTGTGAGGTTGACTGTAGAAATGGTTTAGGGGTTAGTTCGGGTTTACGAACTCGTTGGTTATTTTTGTTTAGGCGCCTTCAGTTCAGGGTTGCTTCCCTACGCATGCAGGGACTGGTTCATATATATATATATATATACATATAGATACGGAGTTTGCAAAAGCATTATTCACCATGGTTTTTGAATCTTCGGACGATGTCTGCACGCTGCGTGCCTGTGTTCAAGTGTGCGACTCCTCCACCACGTTTGCCACTGTAGCTTCAGGGCAGCTTCCCTAAACCGTATACTCCTCAAACCCTGGAGTCTGAGTCTCGGGTAGTGGTTTTCCCGAAGCACCAGCCTAAAGAGTCAATTAAGGGGTTTATTGGTTTGGGGTTTAGTGTTCGGGAATCCTATGAGGCAACCCCAAGAAGGAACTCCTACAGGTACTAGTACGATTCCGTTCCGTTTGCGCCGCAGCTGCACTAGCCTCTACCTTATTCTAGGTACTGCTACCGCTACGACGAGATATCACGCTGCGAAAATGTTCAATCGATGCAACTTGTCACTTTTTCATTTGTCAAGCGTAAGCTTCCGTAGCATCTGCCTTTCAGATACTAGCTCAATCAAGAGCATACATGTATCACGGCTTCTCTTCTCCCATATGTTCTTTTCCAACTTCCCACGGCCTAAATCATTGACTCGAAACTCGAATCTCAACATCCTAAACCCAAAGCCTCAGCCACATGCCAAGCCCTAAACCCTAAACTTCGTCCTAAGCTGTACTTACGGCCCTCCCTCAGTCCGAAACTCAACGAACACCCCGAAACCCTAAACCCCAACTCCCCAAAACCCTGCAAGCCCTGCAGGCCAGACACGGCGTCGGCGAGCGCAGCTTCGTCCGCCTCTTCGTCGAGCCGCAACCATCGGAGCCGCTTGGAACAGCGAGCTTTGGTGTCAGAGACCAGGGTTTAGGAAGTTTAGGGTCAGCCACCATGATAGCCACCGTAGATTCTAAACCCTAGTTGACTAGGTCCCTTTTTGTAGTCCTAGGTTCCTTATAAAGTTACACAGTAGGAACAAGGGAGCCCTTTTTATTCCTAGGTTACTGGGCATCCTAGTTAATCCCTCAATCAACGCTTTTAAGCTGGTGGCATTATGAGGAGAATCAGGTGATCCGGAACTTGATGTGCGCTCCTGCTCTACTTGGAGGGTCCTGCAAATCAGTTCACTATAGGTTATGAATATGGTATTTATACCACTATAAGAGTGCTATATACACCACCGGGCCGAAAGTTTCGACATGCAGCTTATAACATACATGTATGCCGCGGAGAGGCGGAGAGCCCTAAGACCCATTTTACGTGGCCAGCGTGGCGGAGTAATTACTTTCCGGGAATAAATTTATACTACTATATAGTTTCCGGCGGAGAGCTTTGCGGGGTTCTGCTAGGATTCTACGGGGGAAAAGGGGTCAACATGTGAGGATCTCTCAACTTCATGTTGTATGGCGAACTTTCGTCCTGCGGTAGTATATATATATATATATATATGTATATTTGCATGACAGTGTATTGCATTGCATGGTAATTACTATATGACGCTATAGTGCGTCCTGTCATATGTTAGGTAGAATGCAACGTTTTATGTTGTATTACATATCATGCTATATCCTAACCTTTCTTGTATTACAACATGTTTCTGGTCAGCACGCGGCATCGTATCATAGTATGGTATGTTGTGTTTCAATGTGTTGCATTACTTCATACACTGTATTATTTTATGCCAGAACATGTTACAGCAGGTTGTATTTCGTTATCTTGTAAACAATTTTATATCATGTTGCATTGTTTCGATATCGTATATCCTGTCGGATTGTACTATGTTGCCTCGTGATATGTCACGTTATTTTTTATCGTTTTATGAAACTATGTGTAGTTTAGTTGATGTAACATTTTTGGCTTCTGTCATATATTTATATGTTATACTAAGTTTATGCCATCTCATAGGAAGTCCTATAATGTAATGTGTTTAGTACATGTTATTATTTGTATAAGCGAATATACAGAAACTTTTATATGTGTATATATATATATATATATATACGTATTAGGTTATGGGCACATATAGGGACTCGAACGGAGTAGTCTTACTTGTAGTATGCCACACTGTGATGCGGCTCATGGGGCCCTCTTGGGGGCCGCAGGTGTGCTCCTGTAATGGTTCCTGGGTATGTATATAGGGCTTGAATTGTAATCCTCTTGTACTGTTCTTGCTCCACACGGAAAGAATGAGAAGGGAAGCACGATCTACCACAGAAGACGAATCTAAACCCAAAATCCAAAACCCTAAACCCCGAACCCTAAACCCTAAACACCTGAGTTTAGACTCCAGGGATCAGAAATCCATCTTTACCCTGGAAGTGCACTTGGCCTTGTGTGTCCTTGAAGCTCAAAGCCAGGAATACGATTCCCTCATAGTCCCCGTTTGTGCCTTTGCTCAGATCACTCCACCAAATCTAGTCTAGTTATTTAGGCCGCAATGTTACATAGGACCATCTTTGTTTGCAGGGTTTCCCCTCCTTTCGCATGCTGCACTGTACGGTGTGAAAATAGGCCAGGTGCACAGACTCGATAGGATTGATGCAGGCATTCTGTCCCCAAGACATGACAGAAGGAAGTGCTAGTCATAGAACTCCACAGACTTATTCTTCAAGACTGCCTGGATCTACTTGCAACGCCGCAGTCTATCAGAGGTCGCCTGTCTCCTTTCGTCGGCGGCAGTCTAAACCCCCAAAGCCCTGGACCTCGAAGCTTCGATTTGGGAGTTTCGGAAAATAGGGAACCCTAATATAGTACCCTAAATAGTAGGATCCTTATAAGGACCCCCACATAAGGTACCCCCCCCCCACCATTTTCGGAAACTCCCAACTTGTGTAAGGCACTGTTTGTCTGCACCCCTGGGAGCTGTGGAGTTCTTCCTTGGTGAGGCGCCTTCGCCATGCGTCCACTTACGATAGTATCTACTATTACTACCATTCTTCCATTCTCTACTAACCAAAGGTAAGCTTCGCCATGCGTCCAGGGAGGTCCTTGTTGGAAGCGAGTGCGTTTGTCACGTCGCGGTGAGAAAGTAGCTCGGGGGATTCCAAGCTCAATTTCGGGGGTGCTTGTGCCAGCAATCTCCTTTCACAGGCTACTTTGGTAAAAAACGAACTGCCAAAATGGTCGGTCGTGTTTCCTGCGAAAAGGTTCATACATGCTAATCACCCCTAATGCTTTAAGGGTATTTGGGTTTAGCATACTCAATAACTCCTCTGGTGACTTTGCCCCGCAAACGTAATTCGGACTCTTCCACCGAGAGAACACTCATCAGGAAGGAGTACATAATTCGAAGTGTAACAGTACGATCCAAAAAAGCCAAGAGATTATCGGGCGCGTAAGCATGCCAACGAGATCGTTGCTGTTGCCGAATGGGCAGCTAGATGATTGGGTTATCCTGCAGGAAAGCGGCTACCAGTGCATCCAGGCTTGACCGCACGCGTTGGCTGCACCTTGTTGCTTTGATTGAATCTCGAAGGTTTGAGACCATGTCGGCAATGCTCGCCTGCACCCCGCCATACCATGAACTTCATAAGATAACATAACACCTTATAACATATGTATATATATATATATATGTATATACATATATATATATATGTACATACATATGTATATACATATATATATATATATATATATATATATATATATATATTATACAATTAAAGTAGAAACAAGCTTAATGTGGGTTCGTTGAAGCATGAAGTCCCAAGGGCCAAAAGGCCTATGTTTTGAGGGAACTATATATATATATGTATATATATATATATATAGATAGATAGATAGATAGAAACCATAATAAGGAACCCCAAAAAGGTATGTTTTTTGGGCTACAGGTAAACCCCAAACCCTCCCACCCCCGGCATCCTCGGAAAAGCAACGCCAGGAGGAATCCAGTGACACCAGGCCACCCCAGGAGCCGGCGGGTTAAGATTTGGGTGATGTAGGAACCTGATTAGAAACCGTGGGCCTTTGTTAGGGTTGCTTTAAAGGGGTCTGTGAGGGTTACTGTAAGGGATCTATAAGGGTACTATTAGAGTATAATTGTGGGAGTTTCCAAAAATTTGGGGTACCTTATTTTGGGTCCTTATAATAAGGGTCCTACTATTTAGGGTACTACATTAGGGTCCCCTGTTTTCGGAAACTCCCATGTAGGAACCTGATTAAGACACCCCAGGCCTATAGCCCCCAGAGAAGTAGGACTCATATAAGGGATCCGAATAAAGGCCCAAGGTTTTTTAATCATGTCCTACATCAAGGTGTACAGAATGAGTGTAGGATTCAAGGGCTACGGTACAGTGCCGAGAATGAAAAGTGCTATTGTTGGTATATAGGTTTTCATAATAAGGGCTTTACAGGGGTTCATACTGCAGAGTTTCATACGGTAGCTCGCTTGGGGTGTGGCTGTTCAAGATTGGAAATCCCTTGTTTCAGGATCCTTTTCTGGGATCCTCGTGTTGCATAAACTTAATGGGTCCGGGTCTACAGTCGTCTTTTGCTCTTTTTTTCCAGACCGCAGTCTTGCAAAAGAGTCTTGCGCGGACGTAACTTGATGCAATGGGTCATTTAACTTTTGACCTGGCAAGGTTGTTGCTCTAGTTGCACGCCGGATTGTGGGGCTTTACTGAGTTCGTGGAAAGTGCTTCACAAGTACTGACATCATTCCGCCGACACACGCCCTGGTGTCCCAAAGGATAAACTGCCAAACCTTGGCACGAAACCCCAAACCCGAATCCCAGTATCATGCGGGCATACCCTAAACGCTTCGAGGAGTTGAACCGACTGGACATTCCACGGTGGCTTACAGAGGACCGCGGCACAAGCCTACCAAGCCCTCAATAGCCCTAAACCCTAAGCCAACTCCCTGAGAACCTAAAGTAACTAGTATAGGGACCTAGATAATTGCCTGTACCGTTTTGGGGGGTCCTTACTATAACTATAGTTTAATATACCCCCAAACCCTATTCTAATTATTAAGGCCCCTATAGTAAAGGGCATCGAATCATAGGGCTTCTCCTACGAAGGAGGGAGGTCGGGTGGGCTTCTCAAACATAGGAGGCGCATGACGACAAGCAGGGAAGGCCGATGCACTACGCATGCAGAGTAGCTATGTGGTCTTGATGCTTGTTGCTACTACTTACCAATGTCAGCGCATGGTTGAATGCCGTGTCGTTGAACTTGTGGTTCGCCAACTATGAGTCCGAAATCATTAGCTTTAGACATGGGGGTAGCCGGCAGTCCATGTCAGCAGCTAAGGTACTTTCTTCAGGATTTGGTGCTGGGCGTCCAGACTTCCGTACCCAAAGCACGCTCCAAAGCCTAAACCCTATAGTAGTAGAGTTGCCTTTAAGCTTCTCTTTGTTAGTAATATAATCCCTATATGTACTCCCGGTATTCTCCGAATGTACTCCCACTTGATAATCTCTAATTAGTTCCCCAGAATACTGGACGAGTAGGAAACACCGGCCCTATACCGTATTGACCTGAACACTGCAGTTTCGCACGGTGGAGGGCTCTAGAGTTGTGGAAGCCTCATTGAACCCAACTCCGCTCGCCCCTGCACGCCGAAAGCACTGAGCGCCCTCATCCCAAGAGCTTGAGGCCAACAAAGCAGTCGAAGCAATTCAAGCCCAAACCCCCAGGCAGCACTCTGCGGCCCGAAAACTCAAAGAGTGAATTCCCGCAGCCGCAGGCAGCACTCTGCCTGCGCTTCGCTGGCGCCCAGGGCCGCTTTCGGTCGCGGGAAGGCGATGGCTTTGTTTGCTTTGTTTCGTGTTTGTTTGTTGGTTGGCGGCGGTGGACGCGGCGTGGAACAGACAGAGAGCTCAGCACTGTCTGAAGCTTAAGCCCTTTGCCTCGTTGCATCGCCAAGCTATACATGGCTCTCTCTCTGCGGCAACTTCCTGCAACAAGGATCTTCGTTAGCTAGACATGAACTGCACAAACGGGTTCGGAATGCAGCAGTGAGAGCCCCTGCAGGCAGGCCTGATCTGATCGGAGAGCATCACGTGAGGCATCCCGGTTGGATAGTGCGGACTTCAGTGGTCCATTCAACTGTTCTCCACACATGACCGGCTAGGATGCCCAGCAGTACCCCTATTCATTCCCTTTTTGTCGTCCTGGATTCCTTATAAAGTTACCCAATACCAAAAAGGGAGCCCTCTGTATTCCTAGGTTACCGGGCAGCCTAGGCCTCTGCAAAAGGTTAACAAATTGTGTGTGATGTTCTGAATAAACTTTGCAGCGTGTGACAGAAGCAACCCAGGCTGTAGCCTAAGAAAGCCTCCAGTGAACCCCAGAAAGTTGGAACGTGGATTTAGGATGACTAGTGCTAGGATCCCCTCTACTTTACCTTAAGGCCAGGAGGATAATGATGTTCCAACCTTGTGGCTACTACTGTATGTTTTCAGGCATCCTGCACTTGCGTTCCTGATCTACTACCTGAACCCTTGAGCCCCTAATTCCTGTAAGCCACCTGGAGTGCAACCCCCTTAAGGGGGAAGTTGTTCTGGGCTGCCGGTGACCTTTGTTTCCAAGCCCGCAAGCACCGACATCCCAGAGATGGAACTTCCCCGAAAAGTTCGGGGTTTAGATTCGGAGATCAAGGCGCGCCGTCATAACTTGGAGCCTTGGGACTGAAGGCCTGGAACCCAAAAAATTAATCGTGCCAGGTTAACATTCAACTGATCTCTCAGTTTAGAAGCTATAGTAAGTGGAGTCCTTCCTGACTTCAAAAATTGGCTTAGCAGAACCACCCTCACCGACGAGCCCCCCCCCCGCTTTTCGAGTTCGAGAATAAGATGGAGTCGGACTTCAGTTCGTGTCTGCAGGATTCAGGGCTGATGTTTGAAAACTCTAAACCCGAAACCGAGTTCAGACCCCGCCCTTTGGTGTGGAGCTCAAAGGATACAGGGTTTCAAGCTTTTGACGCTTCGGAGTTGAACTTCGACCTTCGAAACTCGGCTCACATTCTGCCCTCAAGGTTTTATATAACCCTGAACCCTGAACCCTAAATGTACCCTAAACCCTAAACCCTGAACCCTAAACCCTTTTCATCACAACCATCATCATCCTGCATCTTCCTTCTCAGCAGTACCTTAGACTCGAAGCCCGAATTGGCCGAGACATATCGCAGAAGCAGACGAGCCGAGTTATAGTTTTGCGGGCAGACTGCAAAGCATAGCTGCAATGCACTCTGTCCGTGTCTGTGTACCTCGTTTGTGTATGCGTCACACCTCTTTTTCTGTAGATGACACTGACAAACACTGAACCCTTGATCTTCAACGTTCACCTCTCAGCCTGACTATTCGTGTCGAGATGCCTCTGGGAACTACCTCCGCATGTTGCCAGGCTCATAGCCGTGCAGCGTGGTTCCGATCTCCTCGGTGATGGCGCGATACTTCTGAGGCCTGAAGCTTACCATAGGGGCCCAAATAATTACCAATACTCGTTCGGGGGTTCCTTAATATAGTTCTCGCACAATGGGCCATAAAGCTCTATTCGAAGTATCAAGGCCGCTGTATGGAGCAGGAGTCTTACTGCTTCGGATGCTTTCGGTCTTGGGGCTTTGTTTACTTACCTTTGGTTAGTAACTTAGTAGGGGATGGAGCAATGGAGTACAATTCTAACTACTATTACTACTATTCTTCCATTCCCTACTAGCCAAGGGTAAGTATCCCTTTAAAGGAACCCTAAACCCCTATAGATCCCTTAAAAGGAACCCTACAGATCCCTTTAAAGGAGCCCTGCTTCAGAGTTTCAGGCTCAGGGTTGGCCTTCAGGGGTCGTGTTTCGAGTGGGACTGCTAGCAGGGCCTGGTGGGCAAGGAGCTGAGGCTGTGGGTCAAAGGGTGGTCATAGAGATCCTTTGCAATCTACGATATGGCAGTTTCCGAAAATAGGGGGACCCAAATATAGTACCCTAAAGTAGTAGGATCCTTATTAAAAGAGCCCCAAATAATGTATCCCTAATTTTCGGAAACTCCCATATAAATTACAAGAGCATTATACCAAGATCATGGTCGGACGAACCCAGCCTCGAAACTGAACCTGGAGGCTGGAGGAACAGTAGACTTGGCACATGAAGAGTGGTTAGGGTTTAGGGCTTAGGGTTTAGGGCTTAGGGTTTAGGATTTAGGGTTAAGGGTTTAGGGTGCAAGTAGCCTCCTCCAAAAGATCCCTACTTGTGTCCTATACTTCCAAACTTCTTTGGATCCTCGTTTCAGCTTTCAACCCGAAGCCTTAAAATCAGGCCTTCAAGCAGAAGCCTTAGTCGCGAGCCTGATGATCCAAACCACATAGTGGGACCCGCTACACAAACACATCGTCACATCGTCAAGAAAGCCAGACAGGGACTACTCGACTAGATCCTAAACCCTGAACCTTACTGCGCCCTGCCAGCTTCGTTAGATTAAGGCCTCGATCAACAAAAGCGATATAGAAATCAACGTGGTAATATTGAGACATCATAAGCCTGAGATTCTGAGGTTAGCAGGAAGAGGAAGACTAGCAGTCGCAATACCGGCGAGTCGAACCCCCTGAAAAACAAATACTAGTGATAGTCAGGGCGCTGATACTAGCAGTAGTAACGGCAGCCCTGACCCTCTGTCCTAATCCCAAAACCCTTAAACGAGTCCGACATTCTCAACCCTTCACGGATCATAGATACTGCGATTTTTAACATTATGGCCTTACAATATGATTTATTTGTAACTGTGAAGTATCGTCTCATAGCCATATTTTGTGACTGGTAATAACAACAGTAATATTTACATTTTTATGCATATATACATATGCACACACACACACACATATATATACACATATCCATGTATTTATCTCGCAAAGCCCAATAGGCAGCTACGGGTCGGAAGTGGCCCCCGACCCCGAGATGCCGCCACCGTGCGCGCTTGCTGGCGTGCTTGGTTTCAGAGGCCGGTTTTGGGAGGGTCTATCTACCCATAGGCTCCATAGTAGTTCCTTTTTGGGGTTCATGTTTAGAATCCTATAAGGTAACCACAAACAAGGAACTACTTTGGAACCTCTGGTATAGGCTTTTATAAGGGTTATCGATTGGGTACTGCCCCCACTCAGTAATAGTTGGATAATATTCATAATATGGCTATATTAGGACCTCAATAGTAGCCCTATTGTAGACTGGTACTGTATGGTGGCAGTACCCAAGTTATAGAGGTATTTCTCAGGCTTTACAGAGGGGCCTTTACTCGTAGGCTTGTAGGGTTTTAGCAGTGGTTGAAGAATTGAGTGTTTTCTACTAGTTTCAATCTCAGATGGAGACCGATGTTGAAAGCTTTTCTTAGGGGTTTGATGGGGTCTAGACAGGCGGTTGTGCCATGGTTTTCGATGGGTTTTACGGTGTGTTCTAAACGTTCGAGTGTTGTAACAGAACCTGCAAAAGCATGCCTGTCTTTCCGAACACTGCAGCATGCAATGTAACTAATTCAGTTTATTTCATTCACGCCGTGTTCTCGACTTCAGTGATGTATACCAGATCCCGGACAAACCCTGTAAAGTGATGCCCGGAGCACGTTTGGAACCCCTGTAACACCCGTATCGAACCTTGCGATAAAGACACCTTGTAGAGCCCGTATTATGAAGCGCTTATAGGAGGAGACCCGACTGTCCTGGGACCCGAGTTTGACAGTGTACTTTCTTTAGGGGTTCAGGGCTTAGGTTTTGGGTGTGGTGGCTTGTAGCAGAAGTAATACTGATGTAAGTTGGGAGACGGTGCTACATGATTTGGAAGATGCAGATACATCTCGGTGACCTTGGCAGCGCACAGACTGGCTGAGCTTCATCAAGAAACACCAATATTTGATTAACATCGTCTATAGAAGCCCGAGAACACGCTTGAAATCTCATACACCCATATACAGAACCTTTTATAGAACCTTTATAGCACCCCATATGCTTGTATAGAAACCTGTCGAATCCTTGTAACGCCATGCACAAACCTTTTCAGACTAAATAGTGCCAACCCCTTGTGCATGACTGAAGCCTAGCTGGAGGAACCTCGAACTGATCTTCTCTACAGGCATCGGCAGGGATGTCTTGCTGAAGGTTTGTTCAAGGGCTTGCTGAAGGATTCCGTTTAAGTCTTGAAGGATTTGTATAGGGTTCCGGGCATGCTGAAGGGTTTATCCAGAACTCAGGGCTACAGTACCAAGACTCACTATGGAAAGTAGTCCCTGGAAACCCCATACTTGTTTTCGCACGCATGATTCCATAATTATCTGGACCCTCTGGGCCAGTACAAGTTGAGGAGAAGGATGTAAGGTTCAGGTTTTTGGGTTTGGGCTTAGGATTCAGATGATTCAGAAGGGCGGGCCTTTATCTTGATTTACGGCGTCGGGCTTACATTCAGAGGGCAGGAGGTTGGGTCTGTTTGTTTCGCGGTGACTGGGGCACAGGATGGGGACGGAGGCGTATGTCCTTGAGATGTCATGTCGTAGCGATGTAGCGCTTCTGTTGAGCCGGATGGGGATTTTTCAATGCCGAAGGTGCGGATTCTGTGGGTGGTGTGTCGGCTTATGAGTTCTGCAGTGATTTCGTTGAGCATGGGGGTTGGGCTCCCGACTAGGCCCAAAAGCCTAAACCCCATCCCGGTCCGAAGCTACCTCTAGTCTCCATCGTAGTTCCTGGTTTTGGTTTAGTTTTAAGCGTATGATTTTTGCAAGGTAGCCCAAAAAGGAACTGCACTGGAGCCGACAGGTAGTAGTTAGTAGACGGGCAGTGAAGGAGTGGCCCAGGTCTTTGAGCCAGGTCTCCGAGTGGGCCCAGGTTCCCTTTTTGTGGTTCTTAGGTGCCTTCTAAAACTGCCCAATACCAAAAGGTACCTTTTTTTCTTCCAAGGTTACCGCGGATCCTGGTTTTCAGTTTTTCGTACCACTGCCGCAGACCCCAGCCCTACTCGTGCCTAGAGCTGCCCTTTCTCAAGGCGGAACCCTAAACCCTAAACCCCTAGCCAACTTAAACAGGTGCGTTTCAACAAGACGGGTCTGTTTCCTTCTCGGGGGAGGGCACTTAAATCAAAGATCCCTAGCGTTTGAAGTTTTCACAGCGCGTAAATGTGCCGAACTGCAAAGCAACACCGAGTTTAGGGAAAGTTGATGCCAAAGTATATGCTATTTGGGCGCATGGACCCACACAGAAGAGCAAAGCCAAAAAGCGCATCAATCGACCGTAAGCACGTGACAGGAGACCCCGAGAATCCTGCCGAAGCTGTCGAAGTTGTGATCGATGAGGACTCCAGAGCAAGCCCTGAAGCTCCCTCAACCGCGTACTTAAGCGTGAACATCCCACGAAGTTGCTCGCTGTAATATCGGCTGTCGGGTTTACGGTTTACTCTTTCAGAGTTGCTGCCTGTACTACTCGAAGAATTGCTCCCATTGTCAACCTCAATTTGAGGTTGGGCCGCTTTCCCCTAAAGCGCGAAGCGATACAGTAACACAGGGAGGTCCTCACTTCCGAAACCACTACAAGACGGACAATGGCAAGCCTCAGTGTCGTCACAGGTGGTAACGGCAGTGACAATGTCAGCAGCTACCAGGTGCTGCGAGCTGCTGCCGTGGCTTCTGCTGCTGCTGCTGCTGCTGCTGCACAAACAGCACACATAGACCTGCAACTTACATGCCTGCCAGAGCCACCGCAACCGCACCGCGACGACTATTATTGTTGTTGTTATCATTACTACTACTACTACTAATAATAATAATAATAATAATACTGCCACTACTACTACTGCACCGCTATTACCACCGCCACTGCCACTACACCACTACCACATAGATACAGCAAGGCCTCAACAAGCGTAGCAGCGGCCCAAAGGATGAGCACCCGATCTCAATCTTAAACACTGAAGCCCGATGACCCCTAAGCCCTAGCCAATGGTAGGTAGTAGGGTTTAGCGCCTAAGTTTAAGGGTTAGGGATGTATAGGGTTTAGGGTAGTAGGTGATGACCCCATAATTCCAGAGTTATCGCTTATCACCCTTAATGGAACCCTATAGTTAGAACAAGGCCCCTAAATCTGGGGGGTTTCCGAAGATATGGGGACCCTAAACTACTAGGTTTGGGACCCCAAACCCTAAACTTCTAAACCCTAAATAGGGGACCCTAAACTGCTCGGTTCGGGACCCAAAAAAAAGGATGAAGTCATGGCCGCCCTACAGCTGGGCCTGAAGCACCTGAAGGTTCGGCGTAGGGGTTAGGGGTTTCGGGCTTAGGGTTTAGTGGTTTAGGGGGGTTTAGGGGGGGTTTAGGGTGGTTTAGGGGTTCAGGGTTTAAGGGTTTAGGGTTTAGGGGTTTAGGGCTTACCTAGGAGGCTACCCATGGCAGTTCCTGTTTGGGATTACCTCAGAAGGTTCTAAATATGAACCCTCAAAAGGAATCACTATGGGGCCTTAGGGTACTTGGAGGCTCCATAGTAGTTCCTTTTTGCAAATTTTGAATTTTGTGGGGAAATAAAATTAGGACCCGATAAGGTAATCCACCGAAAAGGGGCTTCTATGGAGCCTGTGGGTAGGCCTCAGGGTTTGCTTTACTCCTTGCCATGCGAGTTGGGTTTATAGGTTTAGGACTGCTGCCGGGTGTTTTGCTTCAGGGTTTGGGCTTGCGCTGGTGGTCTTCGAGAGGTCTACCCACTCCATTTGCTAGTGTAGTGCCTTGGTCTCAGGGGTCTATGGCCCACGTTTTGGTTGGAGTTTGCTTTTTGCTCCCCCATTCAGTAAGATTGCATAGGAGTGGTAGCAATGTGCTCGAGCTATTTTATCATTTCTTGATAGGTTTGCAAAGAAATATAGCATATAATCGTGAGACTGTGTGAGCTAGAGCATTTCTCGGAGTGTGTAGGGTATGCTTTAAAGGTCTGGATATTTGGCGAGAATGCGCGCTCTACAGTCGCTATTTAGCCAAGAGCAAACTCCGTCTAGCACGACAGCCCGTTCATAAATCATCGAGGACAAGCCCTCTCATTTTTGTATCCACCTGTTTTTCAAAAAGAGTTGTCTTTATTCATCTTTATATGTAGTTCTTTATCTTCATTTGTGTCGATTTGTCTTTAAGTTGTTAGTATTTGTTCTTAATTGTCTGGATATTGTCTTTACTTGTCTTGATTTGTCGATTCTGTTGAACCAACCCTGTGGATCTACACCCTGTGCTTCTGGTTTGGTACAAACGGTCAATGGTTTTGAATTTTGATTCCAGGACCAGATGATATATAGAGTGGAGAGGGGGCTGAGACACGAACGCTACCCCCCTTCACCAAGAATAGCAGGGGGAATGTGGGTGCAGCGCTTGCAGGTTTTAGGGTTCAGGCTCTACCTTAAACTACCAAACCCTACTTTTTTGTAGGTTCTTATTAAAAACCCTAATATGGATTTTATAGGGACCCTACAAAAAAGTAGGTTTTGGTAGGTTCAGGTAGAGGTTCTGTACCCGCTTGACTTTTTTAGAGCTGTAGCCTCGGGCCCCGGGCTGCAACAACGATGCTTAGGGGTACTTAGAAATAGCTGTTTTTTTAATTTTTTTGGTTATTATGATCCCTAAGAAACGGGTTTAGGGTTTAGGGTTTAATCCCTAAGAAACGGCTAAAATCATAATTTGTGCTAGGGTTCTAAGTTCAGTATAGGTTGCTTTACAGCAACGACGACGACGACAAGAACGGCAGTTGGGAAAGCGTTTCTAGCCCAATGTGAAGATGGAGAGTCCTCGGGGTATTGTGTGTTCGTGACCACGAAGCATGGTCGGTTCAGCACTGTTCGATTTTCATACAAGCCGTTGTGGCACAGTGCAGCTGATGTTTCCTACGCCGTTCCTGAAGCGCACATATGTAACCAGAGGGTCTTACTAAAAACAGTTTAAAAACGATCCTGGAGGCCATGCGTGCGTACATGCATGAATGCATGCATGGACATACACGCGCAAGCCTACACACATACATACGTACACAAGCATACATACATACACACCATGCATACATGTATACCATGCAAAGCATACATGCACACACCAACGTCATCGGTCATAGGATAACACATTATTGCACGGCCTTAATAAAATGTCTGCACCCCCAATCAGACTCTAAACCCCATACCCCCTCAATCCCAGAAGCCTACCGGGACACCCAATTACCCTTTAAAAGGCTCTAATATTTCTCATTAAGAGGTAATTCGTGGCTACAATAAAGGGTAGTTATCCCTTAAAGGAATCCCTTAAAGGAACCCCTAAACATATCCCTCAAAGCCCCTGCAAAGAAAAAGGCCCTCCCTCTCCTCACTACTTGGAGGATCATGGGACTTAGTAGCTATAGGTAACTATACTTATAACTCCAATTAGGGTACTTATAACCTTACTTAATTACTAAGTCCCATATAGTACCCTTATAGATCCCTTTAAGGATCCCTTTAAAGGAACCCCTTTTAAGGAACCTTACTTACTAAGTCCCATGATCCTCCTCACTAGGCCGGGAGCCGCGGCCTTCTGCGCGTCTCGGCCGACTGGGGCATCGGTCAACTCCTCCCCTCGGGCGGTCCGACCTTGAGGACGCGTTCAGGGTTGGGGAGTTTAGAGTTTAGGGGTTTAGGGTTTAGAGTTTAGGGGTTTAGGGTTTAGAGTTTAGGGGTTTAGGGTTTAGAGTTTAGGGGTTTAGGGTTTAGAGTTTAGGGGTTTAGGGTTTAGAGTTTAGGGGTTTAGGGTTTAGAGTTTGGGGGTTTAGGGTTTAGAGTTTCGGGGTTTAGGGTTTAGAGTTTAGGGATTTTGGGTTTAGGGGTTCTTTTGCGGGTTCCTTTAAGTGTCACTCTTTTTCAGGTTCCTTTAGCTGGTTTAGGGTTCAGGGTTCCTTTAAGGGTTACTCCAAGGGGTACCGTAATCGAAGACTATGAGGGCTACAATGGTTTTGGGTTTAGGGTTCCTGTGATGGTTACTGTAAGTTTAGGGTCCGACTTTGAGGACCCGTAGGGAGCTGGGGTAAAGGGTAGGGACTGGCCTTGAGACTGGTGGGGGTTCATTTAGGGTTCAAAAGACCAGGTTTGTTTCTGGGTAGTATAAATAAGACCAGGAACCGTGGGAACAGTTTTGGTGATTATTCAGAGGGCTTTCAAAGGATGTAAGGCTCCTCTATTGGTTTTGTATAAGGATTCTTTTGCAGGGTGTAGGGCTTGGCCTGTGAGCTTCCTTTAGGGCTCCTTCAAGGGATCCGTTAAATTGATCCTTGAAGGGTTCCTATTACAGAATCCTTTGGGGTTGTGTAGCTTGTGGTTTAGGGTGCGGGAAGAAGAACGGTTTCGGAACGCAATGAAAGCTGGCTCGTTCTTGCGGCAAGTGTTCTAGATCTTCAATACATGGAGTTGCTTTTGGTCATTTTCATGTGGCCAAAGGAACCACTGCGATTCCGACAACGGCTTGATAGGGTCTAAGTAGGCGATGCCTGCGGCTACACGAGAGTCGGTGCATTTGCACCGGGGCATGCTGCTGAGACTGTATGCACATGAAAAAACGTTGTGATCTCGAGCCAGCAGTATACTTGCACATCAGGAAGTCAAGTCACCGACCACATCAGGAGCAGCACCTCCTCGAGCTTATGACGAGCGGCTTTGTGGCCGCTCTTAGTAGCCTAGGATACTCAGTAGTACCCTTATTCCCTTTTTGTAGTCCTAGGTTCCTTACGAAGTTACCCAATACCAAAAAGAGAGGCCTTTTTATTCTTAGGTTACTGGGTATCCTAGTAGCCCTAGCGCTAAAGTCAACCGGCCAGGAGTGCTGCGATTTGGATCGACATTTGCATGCATGAGGCGCCAACCATTGCATGCAGTCATGGGTTTAGTTCAGGTAGCGTTTGGAAAGCTACCTTGTCTAGCCGTGTGCATGTTCGATGGGTAGCACAGGCACAAGCGCGTAGTTGTGTCGAACAGTGTATCCAGGGTTGAGATTGGACTCAAAGTTGAGAAAGACCATGTCGTTTGGCTTTGATTTATAACCTTCGAGACTTGGCCATCATTCCTTGAACCTTTCCTTCCTCCAGCCCCTCGGCGCCACTCACCTTTTCTTTCCCACTATAGGGGCCTAAAAAGGTAGCCCCACCACCCCACAAAATAGTAGGTATAAGTTATAAGTTGTAAGATATACCCCATAAGACTTTAGGTGATGACCCCTGCATTGTAAGGTATAGCCCATAGACGCGAAAGGTTTTGGGATTCCCGAGTCTATACTGTTTCTGCAGGAAAGGAAGGGCCTGGAGGGAGAAAGTTCTGAACTGTCTTCTTCAAGGTTGAGGGGTTGAGGGTTTCGGTTTGGGGTTTAGATTTCTTTGCGGTTTGGCGTCTGAGCGCAGGATTTGCGCTGCATTCGATACTGTAAACCCGGAACCTGAAACACCCAAACTCTGAAACCTCAACCCCCCCTAACCCGAGTGATCTGTGCCCTACTTGTAATACCGGCCTGTACTCTGCGCAGACAGGTTCAGAATCCTCCGTTGCCGGGGGAGCTCCAGGACACACGCAGATGTGCAGTGCGACTGGCCCGTAGCAGTGTATTGCACCGAAGCCCCAAATTACCGCGAGTGTGAGAGTCCTGAGACTGTGCTACGTCATTGATCCAAGACGGAACACGGCGTATACTGCGCCTGATGCCCCACCATCCACACCTCGGCCGCCCATTCTTCGCCCCAATCAATTGCATGTAGTGTTCTGTAGAACACTACATTCTTCACCCCAAACAAGTACATGAAGCCCCATCAGGATCTACAAAGCTGCCTGGAGTTTGTGGAGCACCGGAAGGTCCAGGCTTGGATAGAGATGATGCTGTTCACTTGGGATTGGGCTTAAGGTTTAGGTAAACTAACCATTGATATTGGAGGAGCTAAGGAGCCAGGGATGATGATAGTCCCTAATAAACAAGGAGCTAAAGAGCCAAGGGAACCCCAACACCACAGGTTAGTAAACCCTAAACTTCAGGGTTTGCGGGACAAGAGGGGCACTAAGAGTAAGTTGGAGGAGGACTGGGGCCTTGGATGCCGTCTGAGCTTCTCGCGATGTCGCTCAACAGTTTCTAACATTGTCTTGCTTAGAAGCTGCCCCCACCCTGTAATAGTGGTGTAATAGGCATATAATAGGGCCCTATAATATAATTGTATATAATCCTTGTAGTCACTATTACAGGGTGGGGGCAGCTTCTAATGTATTGCCCCTTGTCTTCCGACGGTTCACAGATTGCATGTTATTGACGGCTCGTCTTTGTTTCGGCTGAATCATTGTCGCCAGCTTGACCGTCGTTGCACATGTCCTTGCCGCGACCGTTTTACTATGCTGGCGAGTGCTGTGATGCCTGTGTGATGTTGAGATGCACTACTTGCATTAGGGGGAGCAGCTCACTCTCATGCGCACCCGAACAGGATTCCGTTGTCATTGACATTCATTGACTAGCTTCCGTTGTGCCTACAGAAACCCTGATGTTGTGTAGGCTTGCTATATTGCCATATTCTGGACAGGTGTCAAGCTAGGGAAGATCACACTCCTCACAAATGTAGACGTTGTTTGTCCGGCCAGAAGACATCCACAAGCGCCCATTCGATCTCTAAGCCTTTTGTTTTCTGATTTTTGCGACTCCAAAGCCGAATCTTCAAAACTCCGCATCAGGGTGTAACCGGCCCAGTCTACGACTAACTCTCTCAGCCATCCTTGATTCGATTCCTGCTGCAGGGCAATGGACACCTGGCGATCCACGGCCGCGTTCGGAGCATTCTTTGTGGTAGGGCGCTCTCTCCTAAGTCCCAGTAGAGAACGAACAGGGCAACAGTAGGGAAACACAGGGAAACACAAGTCCGACCATACGACTTCAGTGGGTTTCATCGGCACTAACACCTTCGGTTTGCCTCTACAGCGGGCACGGAGATTTGCGGCTTATGCAGTAAACTAACATCTTCACAGAGGGCAGCCAGACCCCGAATTTAGAAACTGCCTCGGTTTCGGAGTTGTAGGATCCATGATGTTACCCTAAACCCTAAACCCTAAATTAAAGACCCCAAGACCGCACTCAAAGGGCCAACTGAAATGATTGAGTCATAGGAGGCCAAAAGGGGTTTTAGCCTATGGGGGTTTAGCAGGGATTAGGGTTCCCATAATAGGGCTCATATTCAGGAATCCTATTAAGGAATCCCTGCTCCAAGAATCTTAAAGCCCCTTTTGGCCTCCCATCATTGAGGAACGGTGATGCTGCAAGCATTGCACGTGCGACCAGGCGCTACGAGGACAGTGCAGGGCAGCGTTGAAGGTGAGGTGACCCTGGCCCACACTGGTTCGAAACCTTGGGGTTTGGAGTCTAGGTTTTCAGCCTGTTTTTAAGGGCTCCTGATTCTGATATCTTCTTAACGTCTTAGAGTTCCGTCAATAGGTAGGGTATTTGGGGCTCAGATAGGGTTTTGGGTTGACGTATTGGGTTTCAGGCTTTAGGGGCTTAGGGTTCAGGCATGTGCTCCTTGCCATCGGCCTTACCGGCCGCAGCAAGAGCTGCCGGGGCTGTCGAGCCTTTCAGGAATTTGGGATTACTATAGGGGCTTAGACAATTGCCAGTACTAGTTTGGGGGGTTCTTTATTATAACTATAGTACACTGGGGCCCAAAACCCTGTTCTAATTATGAAGGCCCCAGTACTACTTGTTGTGCTAGTGGTTGCTACTGGGATTTATGCGCTTAGGGTTTCGGGGTTTAGCGGTTTGGGGTTCAGGCGTGCAGGGTTTAGAGGTAAGCGAGCCCGGACAGCTTTCCGCTTTGGATGTCTCGGCGTCACCTGCACGGCTTACAAGTTGTTCGCAGGCTTTGTGTGAGCGTCTCCATGCTCGGTGGCAAGCCATCGTAGACATAGTGGCAGCTAATAGCATAGTAAGCGAGAGTAGACAAAATAGCAGTTAATTTATATAGCATAGTGAAGCAAACTGTGATGGAAAACAGAAGACAGGACAGTGTTTGCATGTAGAGTAGAGTTTCATCACCACAATCCAAACCCACTCGGAGGAGGGCATAGCCGCGCTGGCTGGGCTCAAAGAAGGCGCCACAGAAGATGACGGGCACTGAGATATTCGAGGAGGTATTCGATCCTGGTAGGGTTTGGGGTCTAGGAGGCTGCAGGACCTCCGAAGCCAGAACCGGCAACTTCTCTGGAGGAATCGAACGAATTCATGGCGTTGTTGGAATCTCTGGGAATAGGGTTGACCATGGCCTTATAGGGAGGGTGCGTTGGAGTCTGGTGATGGGTTGCAACTACACATGAACTCTCATGCAGCCCACCGTACCATCCGGAATCAGTTATGCAGTTTCATCGAAGATGCAACAGCCTATAGGTATTGATGTAGAAAGCCAAACCGTACCTGCAACTGAAAGCCACCACTACACAACCTACACATCTCTGCAGAGCCTCATCAAAAGCGCCAACCTAACTTCCCAAACTTGGTAGTTCATCCACACAACAAGCAGCTGATAAAAGCTTCGGCTTCATTCCCAAATTCATTCTCAAATGCAAGCTACCCTGAGCCCCAAACCCTACACCCTGGCACAGCTCCGGCGAGCGCCGCTGCGCTGTTAGCCGCCCTTCGAAGGAATTTGGCATTGGCTCATTTGCGGAGGCCTCGTTGAGGGTTTCGTTGCTGGGTTTAGGGCCTTTTCGGTTTATGTCAGGATGGACTCGCTCCATTTCTAAGAGAGAATGCTATTGGCTTTCTAGCGCTGAGAAGGGTACCCTAGTCTGGGGGGGTTACATCACCCGTCTCGCATAAGGATTTCCGGAGCTTCGAACTTCAGAACATACATCTCCAAGGGTAAAACCCAGGTATGTACCCTTAATATAGCTGTTATATGCCCACTGAAGGGTAGGGGTCCCCATTAAGGGTCCCTCCTTTTCCCCATCTGGCCCCGAACGCAGACCTTGAAGACTATGACTTCGATCCTGGGGAAAGCAGGGCCTCAAGAAAGCTTCCCTTGTGAGAGGAGTATGTTGACCCTAAACCATTAAACCTCCAAACCCCTAAACCACTAAACCCCAACCCCCTAAACTCCTAAACCCCTAAAACCTACACCCCTAAACAGCCTAAACCCCTAAACCCAAAACCCCTCAACACTAACCCCCAGCCCCTAAACCCCGAATGCCGGATGCTTCCTTTCTTTCTTGAGTGCTCGCATACTTCCAGGGGCCGATGGGCTGATGCTGAGTCGGTGTGCAGCGCTGTCCTGCAAGAGGGGCTCGATTCGAAGGCGATGCTGAGACTTTAGGGTCTTACTTGGAGGATCATGGGACGTAGTAAGTAAGTTTATAAGTACCCTAATTGGACTTATAAGTAGTATATAACCCCAGTTACTAAGTCCCATATGATCCCCCCCAAGTAAAGCTTAGGGATCCGGGGTTCAGGGTTAAGGGACTTTAGGGACTCGATTCGAAGGCCATAAAGGAGCTATGTTTCGAGACTTGGGTTTCGGACCTGGGGATGTGTGGATCCATGTTTAGAGACTTTGGCGCTTTAGAGTTGAGGGATCCAAAAGCTAGGGTTAAGGCCCTAAACCCTAAACCCTAAACCGCTTAGGATTTTGGGATCTAGGGTTCAGTCGGTCCTCAGGAAATGGTTGTGGACTTAGGGCTTCCTGCACGGCTACAGGCGGAACGGTTGTCTTGAGTCTGAAAGGTTAGTGTCCGAAATTCTTCAGGAAAAGGTCTCATGATGTAAATGCTTCATCTGCTGCTATAAACATTGGTGCGTACGACTACCACCATTACTTCCAGTAGTAGTAGTAGTAGTAGAAGTAGTAGTAGTAGTAGTAGTAGTAGTAGTAGTAGTAGTAGTAGTAGTAGTAGTAGTAGTAGTAGTAGTAGTAGTAGTAGTAGTAGTAGTAGTAGTAGTAGTGTAGTAGTAGTAGTAGTAGTGGTAGTGGTAGTGGTAGTGGTAGTAGTAGTAGTAGTAGTAGTAGTAGTAGTAGTAGTAGTAGTAGTAGTAGTAGTAGTAGTAGTAGTCGCCCTCCGACTTCTATTACTCCTTCTAGTACAGACATTGCACAAGTTACATACTTACGTGTAGGTACAAGCATGCATACATACTTGCATCTGTTGCATAGGTTACATAGCTTTCATTCACTAGATAGCCGAGTTACATTACCTACCCCGTTTACATGCAATGCATGCGCCACTTGCATCGCGTACATTACTAGCATTGCTTACATTGCGCGCATTACATGCATTACATTCACAATCATTACATACACCGATTGCCTACATTGCATCATATCCAGTACATGTTCCACTTACATCACAGGCATTATTTGCATTGCCTACTACATGCAGTACATACACCATTTAACATACATTACACACAGTGGATGCAGCACTTACATCATGCACATGCATTACATACATTGATTACATTTGAGACATACTTTACGTATAGTCCAGACAGTACATAACAGCACACATGATTCTTTAGAGACAGCACAGACAGACTTCACAGTAGTCCATAGAAGCACCCGTATGTACACATACAGCACACACATACACATACACACACACACCCGCACACACACACACACACACGCAGAGATATATTTGTGTTACATTACATGCATACATGCATGCTTGAATGGACGCATACATACTGACTTATGCAATCTTACAATGCAACTTGCAAGACCTTTCCCTGCTCCACACCACAACGCACCTCTTTGCATTGCATCGCATTGCATTACACCTTCACATCACATGACTGTGCATTGCCTTACATTACGCCACATTGCATGCATTCATATAGGCGTATACACTTTATAACATGCATAAATCCGCCATCTCAACAGCCCCCCCACAGCACAACCTGCGGTTGCGTGCCAGGCCTTCTTCCGGCGAGGGGCGGCTCGACTCGGGCTAGAAGACTTCGACGGCGCAGTCGAGGCCTTCTCAAACCACACTACCGGTACACCTAAAGCATCGCAGGTCCTAGAGTCCATGGAAACCCACTTTGGGTCCAAATGAGAAGAGCTTGCCGGTATTTACTCGGTGTTTGGTTGCACGTTGATGGCCCAGCTATGGCTACTACAACCGTGACGATGCCTGAGACCTTTACTGCGGCCTTTGTAACCTGGAATTAGGAACCCTTCGCTTGTAGCCATACCCTTGTAATATGTATGCACATATTATACAACTACTCTGTATAGATAGATCGATAGACAGACAGGTAGATAGCTAGCCTGCTAGATAGACAGATAGGTAGATGGTTAACACATAGGTACACAGACAGATAGAAAGGTTGACAGACAGATATGTAGGTAATTAGGTAGGTTGATTGATTGTTTGATTGATTGGTTGATTGACTGATTGGTGGGTTGGTTGGTTGGCGGTTTGGTTGTTTGGTTGGTCTATCGGGTGGTTGGTTGGCTGGTTGATTGATTGCGGGTCAGATAGATAGGTCAAAGATAGACAGACAGAAACTTAGGCTGTACGTCCTATCCCCATGCCCTGCTCCGGACGTATAGCGATGTGCTGAATTCAGCCCGAGCTCACACACACACACACAGACCCTGCGCACGATGAAGCCTCACGCGATCAGCAGCGCATTCAGGCTGAGGTTGCAGGGCTTATAGGGTCGATGGATCGTCCCGAGTTCTGAAGCGCTTCAGCCTAGAAACTCTTGACCTTACTACTTTCATGCCCGGAATTCCATGTAAGACTCAGAACTGTCAGCTTCATGCCAAGAGGATTTACGTGAAGCCCTCGGATTGCATCCTGACTGAAATAGAATGATGGGCCGCGGCGCAGATACGCTTGAACAGGATATCAGGTCTTCTGATATTTCGGGCGTTTCTTGGGGAGCAGGGTTGACCAGGTGGGTGGTTGTCAAAATTATGGACCCTTTTTGGGTACCCTAAATATTAGTTGCCGTACTATAGTAAGGACCCAAAAAGGGACCCTAATTTGGACGACCACCCAGGTATATTCTTGCCTCTCTCAACTTTCGATAGGACTCGCAGTTGGGGGCCACCCAGGTTATCGCAGAGTCATGTTGCATCATCTCTTCAGCTGCCCAGAACCCTCTAGTACGACCAAGTAGGTGCAAGCAGATGAGACCTTGAGTTGGGAGTTTAGGGTTATGTATTATTTATTCCAGGAGGACCCCTGGATGTGAATGTGTTCTTGTGGGCCCGAGCTGTGGATGCAGAGCACCAGCCTAACCCCGAGTAGCCCAAAAGCCGAAACTCACCCGAACAAAATGGCTTAAATAATTACCCATACTACTTTGGGGTTCCTTTTTTATTGAATATTAAATATAGTGTAATGGGCCCCAAGACCCTAGTCTAATGATTAAGATTATTATGGCCCCTATATCAGGGCAGTTCTAGAGGCCGTAACAAGCAATTGTAGAATCCATGATCCCACATAGCCACAAAGTCTTGATGTAGCACATTAGAAGCTCTACTGTGACCTTAGAGGCACTCCTTTCAGGCTCAGCAAAGACCATCTGGACATAATATGCAAGCCTCAATAATTACCTATACTATTGCAGGGATTCCTAAATTAATCACAGTATAACATACCGAGGCCCCTATATTATGGTCCCTTACAACTAGGGAGCATTACGCCTCACAAGCAGCCCGTAAACCCTACCTATAGTCTCCACTGTAGTTCCTCTTCTTGGTAACGTAGCCACTTGTATCTTCGTGTAGTCTCCCAACCATATTGCACTTGGTTAGCCAAGCAAGGAACTACGACGGATACTGTAGGTAAAGCCAAGCCCGAAACCCTAAACCCCAGGACCGTTGCCCTATGGACCCCTAAACCCTAAACCGTCCTAAACCCCTAAACCACTGAGCCCTAAGCCCTCCCCCGCCCCTTCCCTGCTGCCCTTGGACCCATCTCAGGGCTTCGGAGACGGAGGTGCCCGCCGTGCGCCGAGAGCTTGCCAAAGCGCAGGCTCCTCACTTCGCAGCCTTCGGAGAAGCTCCTTAAGGGATCCCTTCCCAGACCCCCGGGAGGATCCGAAAAGTTCCCTTGATGGGGGTTCCTATAAAGTAGCCTTAGTAGTGTACGGCCCCAAATTAGGGGATCTACTGTCTAGATCCTCCCGGGGGTTTGGGTTAACGAATTCCTTAAGGAGCTTTTACCGAATCCTTCAAGGGATCCTTTGAAGGATGTCTTTAAGGGATCCCTTACTTAAGGGTCCAAGTTGCAAAATAATCATATACTTTCCGAAGTGTCAACCTACATAACTATTATCCCAGACCCCACTACGTGATTGTTGGGTCCTTTGGACGCTACACGTAATCCAACATGCGTACAGGAGCCTCTGTGATCACGTGCATTCGCGTGCTGTGGCTGCCAGTGCAATTCAGTGCATGTGCAATTCCTCGGAAGAGTTGTTCTCTTGATCAATACATGCATGCACACTTTTTTGAATCTACGTGTGTGCCTATAGCTGCATGTGTGACGTCTGGGAGCATGAATGTGTATGTAGGCATGTCATGGCAAGCCGTGGGTGTCTAGAGACAATACTCAGCCGTAGCACGCTGCAAGTGAGCCTTAACTTTCACACCCAAGCAAGAGGTCAGTAGGAATCCTAATATCAAGGCCCCGAAAAGGATGTTTTATTAGCGAGGCGTCAGCAAATCAAACTCAGCAAATCAAAAGCCTCGCACTGGACTGACAGGCTCGCCGGAAAGAATGGCAGCAGGGTCAGCGAAAGGCTTTCCAAGGCATGGGTGCTCTCCGATGGCTTGTGGTAGTCCTGTAAACTGGGGCCCCCTTTTAGGACCCAGAAATTGTAATAGTACCACAGTCGCCATGTTATGCGCCGTTGCTGACCATCAACTCTTCGTGTAATAGTAGCCTGGTTTCGATATGTGAACCACCGTGTATGCTTTATATTGCTGATGATGATCGTCACTCTTCTCTTCTCATCATGACCGTGTGTTCTTTCTGCTACAAGTATTGCGGCCTCGTGAAACTCCTTCCGGTATTTGCCATCCTTTTCCGCCTCCCCTTCCCCCCTCCTTATGCTTGTCGTCGTCCGAATCAGAAGGTTTCCGTGCTGTTTGGGTGCGAAACTGGGCGACCGCAGGTGCTGTGGCCCATCCAAGCGCACATCATAAGCTCTAAACGAATGCCCGAAAACTTTTAACCCTACCCCAAATCCCTAACGGTTGCCTAGCACAGTATCCTAAACCCGCAACCCTTCAGTTTCAGATTTCTCTGAGCATTGACGAACTAGATTCATCCCTAACCCTAAGGATCCTAAGTACTCTACATCCTACTATATGGGTGGTTGTCAAAATCATGGTCCCTTTTGGGGTGCCTTAAACAGTCGGTGCCGTACTACATTAGGGACCCAAAAACAGGGGACCGTAATGTTGACAACTACCTATATATATATATTATATATATATATATATATATATATATATTATATATATATAATAATAATAATATAATATAATATAATATAATATAATATAATATAATATAATATAATATAATATATTATAATATAATATAATATAATATAATACAATATAATATAATATAATATAATATAATATAATATAATATAATATAATATAATATAACATAATATACTACAATGTGTATATATATATATATATATATATATATAAACTCACTTAGGACCCTTTGGGCAAACAAGGCATCTCGGCCCTGGGTCTGTGGCTCTGGGATCAAAGAGAGCTGGGGGCCCTCCTCCGAGCCCTCCACATTCACGTGGGTAGTTCCAGTTCCAAATTCTCTAAATTAGTGTCCCTATTTGGGTGGTTGTCGAAAATTAGGGTCCCTTTTTGGGTCCTTAATATAATATTAGGGTACCCAAGAAGGGACCTTAATTTTGACAACGACCCATTTAGGTGCCCAGAAAAGCTGGACCTTTCACGAGCACTCTTCGATGCTGCAGTAGTTCGAGGCGGCTCAGCAGAGCGTGCCGACATCGACTTTCGGTATTCCATGCCACGCAGTGTTGGTTTGGCAAAAGATCGTCGAGAGAAGGATATCAATTGGCCAGTTAGTCAGCGGCTTTATGTTCGGAGAAGGGTCACAACCAAAACTAACGTCGACACTTCACAGATGCGTACACAACTCTGCAAAACCCTCAAAAGAGTACTTGCAGGTGTTTTCGACAAGATGACCCTCCAGGAGCTTTCTGTCGGATATGGTAATTCATGGTCTCTTTGGACAGCTTGACTTGTCGGCCGAAAGCATGAGTTAAGATTCGTTGTTGGGTTAGCTTTGACTGGCAGTTGAGTATCGAAATAATAATTGCCTCACCCGAGGCCTGGTGACACTTGTTGAGATGCTCACCAACCCCCAAAGATTCACAAGAATGCAAGTATCGTTAACTTTGTGCTCAGGCTTTGCAAAAAATTCCGGACCCCGCGCCTTTTCCCCCTTCTAGGATTCTAGGGTGGGGCTTCCTGCGTTCACTGTTGGAAGCACCACAGGCGTTTCTCAACACAGCAGTCAGTTAGGAGCTGTGGTGTATTATGGCGATATAAGGAGTATTATGGAAGAGACGAAGAGTGCCTGAAGATCCTGACGGTGTCTAACTTTCATACAGAGCCTTCTGATGAGATCAGTCCTTGCTTCCCAGTTGTCTCTAGTTGGATCTGCATTCTGTGCGACCTGCATCGAAAGCTCCCCCCCCACACCCCCAGCACCCCGACTCGAAAGAGCGGACCAACTTGAGGCCGAGCTTTCTACTTCCTTCGCTTTTGTTTGTGGTCGGTCCAGCTCGGCCGCAGTTTAGCTGCCAACCTTTTCCCATGTGTTGCCGGGAGCCAATTGGCAGAATGCGTTTTAATCGGCAAATAGCTAAACATGCTTCGTGTACGGATGTATGTATGCGGGTAGGTAGGTAGGTAGGCAAGTAAGTATTTAGACATGCATGCATGTTCGCGGAACGGAGTGTAACATGTGTGTGCATGTGTATTTGTTGGCACGGGTTTATGCTTGTTTGTTTGGTTTTTGCAGTGTTTGCTTATTTGCTTGTGTGTTTGTTTTGTGCATGTCCGTTTGTTTTATTGACTGGTTGATTGATTGTTTGTGTAACTGATTGGTTGATGGATTGCTTGTGTGGTTGGTTGTTTGTGTGTTGTTTTTGTTGTGTGCATGAGCTCATATGTGCATATGCCGGCAGGCTACCTAACTGTAAGTGGATTTCTACGCTACTCAGGCATTGACAGCAATCCCTATCCAAACCCTCGACCTTCAAACCCAAGACCAACGACAGTTTCCGGTGTAAACAGGAATTAAACCCCAAAGCCTTCAACCCAATTCACTAAAACCCTACTCCAAAATCCTATGAATACCCGAAACCCTGGCGCCCCGAATACCCGAAGTGGTGCTGAGAGGACGAAGCGTGGGAGAAACGCCAAAAGGAAGCTGAAGAGAAGGCGAAGGAGGAGGCACTGCTGTTTGTCAGTTGTTGTTCAAGACATGCTTGCAAGCAATGTGGGTCTGATGTGGGAGTTTAGGGGCTTGAAGGGGGATGAGGCAGCGTTTGGGGCCGAGACACGAGCGCAAAAAGCCCGCCTGGTGCAAGATGAAAGAACCTGAGGACCTCGACAGCATGATACCGGACTTTATAAATAGCATAATACAGTACACTGTAATCCAATGAAACATAGTACAATATTTCAGTTGTGGGGTCGCAAAGTTGTCACTCAAAGCTGACACTTGGGCGCTGTGCAGGAAGCCTTTTTTGTCCATCCCCAAACATGTTTAGAAAAGAGCTGTGAATCCTGCTCCCCCCAAACAAAATAAAGACACAACAGCCTCCATTGGGCACGTGTGCAATAGAGGAGGCTCCATCAAAGCGGCCCAAAACCCTGGAAATGGATTCTGAGATTGACTATCTGGGAGGCTGCAGGCTTGCCGCAGGTTAAAAGGGAATGAACAATGTGATGTTCTTATCGTGAGGGCTTGGCCTTAAGCTAGTTTTGAAAAATAAGTTTCTTGGAGCCCAGCGTAAGGACAGAAATCCTAAAACCATACGCCAGCAAACCCCAAAAGCTCAGAGCTCTAAATCCCTCAACCCTGAGAGCCTAGACCCTAAACCCCTAAACCCTTAAACCCTAAGCCCCTAACCCCTAAACTCTAACCCCTAAACCAAAAACCCCAAACCCCGAAACCCCAAACCATCAGGAAGCGCGGCTCCTCCACGAGCAAGAGCGGGAGAAAGAGTCGCTTGCCCCGTCGACCCCCGAAGTCGCGGAAACGCAGCCGGAGGAGGAACGGGGTATCCTACGAGGTCGTACCCGGGTAGTATAGGGTTGAGGGTTTCGGGTCTAAGTACGGTTTAGGGAAGGAGAAGGAACGGGGGTTTTAGTAGTGTTAAGGCCTTATTAATTACCTAAATTATTGCGGGGGGTTCCTTATAGTATAATTATAGTATAATGGGCCCCAAACCCTAATGTAATTCTTAGGGCCCCTATGTTAACCAGGTAGCATAGAGACTCTAAGGCTTTAGGGGTTCGTGGGCCCTCCAACTTCTTGTGAATTAGACGCCGAAATGTAGCTCGTTTCTATGTAATCAGCCATTTCTTGTGCAGGACCCTAACCTGAACATGTGCTGTCCCAATTCGCCAAAGACAGGCACTAATCCATCGTCGGAGTAGTCAGCCTTGAATACCCGGAGACAAGGACCAAACGGGCTTCGTTGAGGGCGTAGGGCTTGCCCTTCGTTGTGCTCCGTATGAATGGTATGAGCGTGACCACGGGAGACTTCCACAAGGAACCCGGAACCCTCCACAGAATGATTCAAGCCCAATGTAACTAAGGGTTGCAGTGCCGACGGCAACCATCATCCACCTAAATCCTAAACCCGACGTCCGAAGCCCTTAACCCTGAACCCTTAAAGCCCTAAACTCCAAAGCCCTATGAACCCTAAACACCAAAAATCCTAAGCCTTAGCTCCTAAAGATCCTAAAACCCTAGAACCATCTAGACCCTAAAACCCTGAAGACCTTGACCCTAAACAAGCCTTGGGCCCGATCCAAGTAACGGCCATTCGGAACCTGGGGCTCAACACTGCTCGGCTTTCTGGGGAAACCTAATAGAAATTACTGAGGTACTCTGTACGCATCTTTAATCATAAGGGTAGTCGTCGTCGTAGTAGTTCGTAGCAGTAGCAGTAGTCGTCGCCGTAGTAGTAGTAGTAGTAGTAGTAGTAGTAGTAGTAGTAGCAGTAGTAGTAGTAGTAGTAGTAGTAGCAGTGGTAGCAGTAGCAGTAGTAGTAGTCGTCGTCGTCGTAGTAGCAGTAGTAGTAGCAGGAATAGTAGTAGTAGTAGTAGTAGTAGTAGTAGTAGTATAGTAGTAGTAGAGTAGCAGTAGTAGTAGTAGAAGTAGTAGTAGTAGCAGTAGTAGTAGCAGTAGCAGTAGCAGTAGCAGTAGCAGTAGCAGTAGCAAGTAGTAGTAGCAGTAGTAGTAGTATAGTAGTAGTATAGTAGTAGTACTAGTACTAGTACTAGTACTAGTACTAGTAGTTAGTACTAGTAGTAGTAGTAGTAGTAGTAGTAGTAGTAGTTGTCATAGAAGTAGTTGTAGTAGTAGTAGTAGTAGTAGTAGTAGTAGTAGTAGTCGTAGTAGTAGTAGTAGTAGTAGTAGTAGTAGTAGTAGTAGTAGTAGTAGTAGTAGTAGTAGTAGTAGTAGTAGTAGTAGTAGTAGTAGTAGTAGTAGTAGTAGTAGTAGTAGTAGTAGTAGTAGTAGTCGTATTGGTGGTGGGAATACGATTTGGTTATAGTCTGAAAACTAGTAGTCTGATTGTAACTACATTAACTCTACTATCGACTGTTTGAGTTTTTGTTGCTACGACCGTCTCCGGTGAGCTTCTGAGCACTACATCAAACATTCCGATGACTCACCCTAAACCCTAAGACCCCCTCTAGGACAACATCACCGCCAAAGTCTCTGCGATGGTGGAGCCGCCAGCCAGCGGAGCTATTGAGCCAGAGCAAGACGAGGCGACATTGACATATAATAAAATTTGTAGAAGAATGAGCATTCTAGAAGTATAATGATTTATAAGTAGAACAGTGTAACAATAGTAGCGATAGACTGAACAGCAGCAACAAAAATGCATTCCGGGATGTGCCAGACTCGGGGTCCGTAAGTAAGCAATACGTCGAAGTTCCTGTGAACACCATGGATGCTGCTGTATTCAGATTCAGGGTTTAGTGTCCGGAGATATTCCATAATTACCTCCACCGACATGCGCGTGTAGTCCATGCGATCGCTGCAACCAGACTGCATAAAGACATAGCCACCTCTCAGCATTTCTGGCTAAAGGTAACATGCTCTGACTACTTTGATATCCCATTACACATAGTCGTGCAATTTGTCGTACATTGGTGCCAACTCTCTCGAAAATCTCTGAGGCCGGAACCCTCTCAGCTCCTCCAATCTCCCAGCCACAGAATCTGTGGCTGAAACCTGAGTTTAGGCAGCTTAGGGAGTTTAGGGGAATGTATTTTTGGAAGCCTTAAGGGTTTTCCGGGTTGACGGTCTATGCTACTACTTTGAAATACTATTTCTTGGGGGTTCTTTATTACAGCTCACAGGATGTACCCCAAACCTTATCGGAAGTAGTAAGGCCCCTGTATCATACTAATGGTTGAAACATAGTATAAAACCTTATAAACCTTTAAGGGAACCCTACTCTAATCTGTTATGAAAATTAAGGTCCCAATATTCTACCAAAAGGGTCCAAAGTACCTATATCGTAGAATGTAGGGGTCCTAACCTATGTTAGGAATTACTATTATGATTTGGGGAAGTACCCCCCCATAGCAGTACCTATGACCCTTTGGGATAGGTTTAAGGTCTCCAATCAGAATAGTTAACTCCTAATATGGAAACCCTACATTCTACTATATAGGTACTTAGGACCCTTTGGGACTATAGGTTTAGGGTCCCCAGAAAAAAAGGGGACCGTGAAACTGTTGCCAGGCCGCGGATTTCCGCAACGTCACGTTGCCAAAGCGTCCACAGGAGTCGCTGCAGCGCTCTGAAGGGTTTAGGGCTTATACTTGAAGGATCATGGGACTCAGTGACTAGGGTTATAATTACGGTAACTATATACTTGTAACCCCAGTTAAGGTACTTATAACCTTACTTACTAAGTCCCACGATCCTTCAAGTAGGGTTTGGAGATTTTTTGGGTTTAATGGTTTAGGTTGTGCTACCTACGTAGACCAAAAAGCACATAAACTAGTGGCCCAGCACCTACAACAATGCCGTTATTCTACATACTTTTAGGGTCCGGGTATGCTTTGGGTTTTAGTTTGGGGGTTTAGGTTCTAGGGCACTGTGCTGAGAGTAGCTAAGCTTTAAAGTCTTTGGGATACTATATTCCCTATGTAACCCCACAGGCTAATCTTAAGTTCCTCTAGCATACTCGACTAGTAAGGTTTACTGTGTTTAGTCCTGGGTTTGGGATGCCATCGGCGGAAGTCCGACAAGGAATGAGCTGTGAACTTGTGTCACAAACTTTGTCCTGCCCTTTGCTTCCCCTTCGCTGCAGTGTACGCACCAAGAATTCTCACAGTCCTGAGGTTCAGAGGTCTCTTGACGCCCTACATACACTTTTGACCCTAAGCCGTCAATCTTAGGGCGCAACCACAGAGACCCGACAACTCTAAACTCGAAAGTCTCGAACCTTTCAAAAGCTCTTCCAAAGTGCTCTGCAGACCCTTGCGAGGTTGTACAGAACAAAAGAAGCCATGAGGAAACCCTCAAGCCTGCCCTCCGAAAAAAGCAATCCGGTACTATGGCGGCTTTGAAGAATTACCTTGTAATGATACCTCTCTCTCTCGTCGCTAAGACAACTCGAACACACCACAAAAGCCCTACATGTCCAGGACAACGGCCCCTGTACCCCTTTCTTTATCAACATGGATGCCTGTTCAATGCACAGGAGACACTTGTATAAAACCTATACAAGACTCTCTACAACTCTTGTAAAATTACGCCCGTAGAACCACCCCTAAACCCTAAACCCTAAACCGTCCACCTTCATCCGTCACGAGGAGACGGGAATCACGGCCTTGATGCCACCGCCTGGTGCCCGGATCAGTCAGGCGCCGCCGAAGGTGGAGAACTACCAGGCCGCACTTGACAAGAGGTTTACGGTATAGGGGGTTCTACAGCGGTTCCTTAGGGAAGCCTTAGGGTGGTGGAGTTGGTGACTATAAGGTCTTTTGTCACAAGGGTTCCCTAGACCGTTGTAATGGTTTTTATGATGTTGTAGAATAAGAGTGTTACGAGGGTGTTAAGAGTTTCTGCAAGGCAACTCAACCAATTAGTGGTAGATCCTCGTATTCAGGATCCGGTCTTTTGGGGGTTTCTTGATCTCTAGAAACTCCCACATTGATGGTAACAGCCATGTACGGCTTAGGTGTGTGGTTACCGTCGTAGTCGTGATTATGAGCATGCTGACGGTTATGAATCATAGAAGCATTGTGATGATGACCATCACGGTGACAAAGACTAACATGTGCGTGATTTGATCATGAGTTCTTGCCACGTCTCTCTGCTGAGGGTGCCCCACTTCGGATTTCGGAGTCCCTATCACAGGGATCTTTCGGTTCAGACTAATGGACTTAGACTATCAGGGCTCCATGATACTCGTGTGCAAGAAATGTAGTCAAGACAGAGCACGGATCAAGGATTAATCATGTCCCACAACTACTGGCAGAACCACCTCTTCGCACTGCAAATGCCCAGCAGTCTGCTAAACGCACTGAAACACCAGCAAAGCCTTAGTGAACCAAAAAATGCAGTACTTTGATGGGCTATACCCAACACGTAGTAACTAAACTTTAAAGCCTGAAATCCGAAACCCTAAACACTCAGAGTTGTTCTTCACAGGTGCCTTCTTTCCTGCGCAAGAAGCAGCAGAAGAAGCCCTGACCTGGTGCTGCAGCGGTCGGAAAAAGCCTTGCTTCCCGTGCGAAAACTTTCCCACAGGGGCCGAGTAATCGTATAGTCTGTACTCTTACGGCCCGATATCTACTAAGTACCTACGTACTATACTGGCACTTGGATCTTTGGATGTGAGTATACTATATTATGGAATGCTATGCTATACTTTTCCCATACTGTGCTCTACTATAGCTCACTATGCTGTACTGATAGGGTGTTATACTTTAGTATAGCACACGGCCGAAGGCTTCGGGAGGGGGGATGATGATTTCCGGGCTGTGGTCATCTGAAAAGCCGCTCTCTTAATTGTGCTTTGGCTTGTTCGTTGAGCCTGATAAGAAATCTTGCAACCCCACGGATGACGCGTCTTAAGTGCTAAGGGCTTTCAGAAACCCTATTCCTATACACCCCCATAAACCCTAGAAGCCGTAAACCTCAAGTTTTAGGAGTTTCAGAATCACCAAGCCCCAAAGTCCTAGCTAGCCTGAACACCTTGATTCCAAAGTCCGAAGGCCCGGACCGGGCTTGGAAGATGTCTTAGGTTTCTCGTGTCCTTGGCACATCGACTCTAGATCCATAGGGCTTTCAGGACATGCGCTCATCATGTAGGGAGCAGGGTTTAGGGTTTAGGGGAGTACAGTTATAGATAGGGACTCAGAGGAATGTACTACATACTACTCAGTCAATCTCGATATGCGATTTTCGCTACAATGCCTGGGCCGCACCCTATGCGACATAGTCATGACAACCACTGTTCAAGCTTTGGGATTGAATACCTCCCAAGCCGCGGGGTCTGTTCTGACATCGGATGGCACTTGCGGCACTTTGAATCAGCAGTCATGGATAGGAAGGAGGCTTGAAACAGTGTCAAACCCTATGAGGCGAGCCACGGGTGCTGTGGTCCGTTGTGCACAACCTGGCTCTGAAGAAGGGTGCGCCACTCCGGGTTTGGGGGTTTACTGCTTGAGGGGTTGAGGCGTCGAGCGGTTTCGGGTTTGGGTTGAGGGTTTAGGGTTCAGGGGCTGAGGGCATAGGAGGCATAGGTGCCGAACCTTGAATCCTGAGCCCCTAACCCCTGAACCCTGAATCCTGAGCCCTGCACTCTCATTCTTGGCCCTAAACCTTCGGGTTGAAGATGGTTGAAGAAGGTCTTGGCAACTTTAAAGGGCATTTTCCAGAGAGTGTAGTGCACCCTCGTCCGACACACTCCAAGGGTTTCCTAAATGAAGGGGCTCCGGGTTTGACGTCTATGCTGGGCTTTGAACCAAGAATCCAGGCACCTGGACGGGAGGGGAGTTCTGGTTTTGGCCGGAACCCTAAACGCTAAGCTACAACCTAACCCACGATCTTACCCTGAGGCTCAAAGTAGCCCAAAAGCCCTATATAGTATGGCCTTTGGGCCCAAAAGCCTTAGAATGTGAGTTCTTACATGCCTAGGGGTTAGCCACATTGCCAGGTATGACTTTCAACCGGCGATTCGTGATCTCTGGATTTGAGCTTCCTCGGACCCTCGTCCGACTGCCCAGTTTGCCTTGGCCTAGTGGGTCTCAAGTTAATGTAGGGGCCTGAATACTTATTTATTTTTAATGGGGTCTTGAAGGTTCCTTTTAATAGTTATAGTTATAGTACAAGACATCCCAACGCCCTATCCCACCTAATTTCTAAGGCCCCAACATGATGCTGTCAGATTGGAGCTTTGCTACGCTCGCCTTATCCCTTTTAAACCCTACAATCTCAACTCTAAACTATGCTCCGCATGTAACGGCTGGAGCTCAGATAGCCTACAAAATCCCACAGAAGCTTGGCACTCAGATCTTGATCCCTAAATCTCTACAGTGAGGCTCGAGGAGGTTCGGGTCCTTTTCTGTACAGTTTAGGCGTTTAGGGTGTAGGGTTTTGGGGTTCAGGGTTTACGGTTTGGGGTTGAGGGTGTAGGGTTCTGGAGCCTAAGCCCCACAGCACCGGACTTCATGTTTTACCGGATTTTTAGTCTTAGAGTTGTTCCGACGGTGATATCCGGACATTTGTGTTCCGCTATATCCCCATCGCCTGCCAAGCCATACGGTGTGAAATGCCCGTACATGCTGTAATATAGAGCGGTTCAGAGTTTAGGGGCTCTCATTGTCAGACTGGTTTTCGGGGCTTTCTTCGCTAGAAACATCAAGGGACTTTGTGAGGGAGCTCGATTTCCCATTAACGCTACGAGCCCTAAGCCCTGAACTCTAAGCCCTAAACCCTAAGTTCGATTTCCCATTAAAGCTAAGAGCCCTAAGCCCTGAACTCTAAGCCCTGAACCCTAGACCTCGCCAGGAGTTCCTGAGACTGAGACATGCCTCGGAAAGTTTTGTGCTGCTGTTTAGAGCCGGGTGTATCGTTTGCTCGGAGAGCTGCGAAAGGCTTAAATTTGAGCCTTGATAAAAAGACTAGGGTTTTTGCGGTATGATATTCTATGCTTATAGCAAGAAGCCCTAGGACCAATCTTGGTAACTATTTCCCTAAAGCTCTAAGGACTCATATTTTAAGGCTTCTGGGCCCAAAGACCATATCATACAAGGCTTTTGGGCCATTTTGAGCCTTAGGGTTTAGGCCCCTATGAAGGTTAGTCAGTTTCGATCAGGCTCCGGCGTAGATAGACTTCCATGCCAGGGTCCCAACGATCGGCAGCAGAGCGAGGGGAAGGTCACGCAGCAGATGGTCGTGAATGAGTGCCCGAGGGTACATTGGGGAACTGTGGGGCTTACTGTAGTGATGAGGCATGATTCGGTGGCACACGGTAAAACCGGAAAAACCCAAGCCCTGACGGATAACTGTATACTCACCCTAAGTTGTGGTATCCTAATCATCGCCCCTATTTTCCTCACGCTTGCTACATCTTCTCATCCTGGGTGTGTGTATTTCAGGTACGGCCGAGGGTTCCCACCTCAAAATCACAGAGAACGTAAAGCAAGCCTTGTATTCAAGCCTGAAGCTCTTCAGCACAAAGCTCTTGCCTCGCATCCTAGAGACTGCGGTCATGGGTTTTATGGTTTGTGAGTCCGGGTCGTAGAGTCTGCAGGGTGAGAGTTTCTGGTTGAGCGAGAATCGGGATTGAGTTTCAGACGCCGTGTCCGAGCGGAAATGGCGTTGGCATTGAGCTGCCGTGGCTGCAGGGCTTGAATCACAAAACCCACCCAGCATCCAAGACCGAGACCCCTAGACCGTGAAATCCCTGTGCCCAAATTATACACAATGGAGACAGGCCAATTATTACAATAACGCTGTGTTGAACGTTCCTTTCGGGCTTCTCCCAGAGTTCCTACATTGCATATGGAGGGCGTCTCAATAGTTGGCGGCTAGTAGCTTTTCAGCCAGTTATTGTCCCTGTATAGTGGTATCATGCCCTGCAACAGGAACGCCACCTGGACATTGCAAACCATTTCGCGACCTAGTTCCGCAACCCAGTTGATGTCCAGGTATGCATGAACTCTGTGACTCCCCTTCCCAGAGATTCGTTACGTTTGCAGGATGTAGGGTCTAATTAGTGGACGTCTTCAAGCCGACTTTGTCGACTACCACTACAGCTGGAGAAGACGTCAATGGAGGACAGACCTGCTTATGCGCAGGTGTTTCTAAACTAACAAGGACATGTGCAGGCCGTGAATTGATCAGGTTTTGTCCGCTCAGCAGGATGTCCGCAATTAATGTCCGATCCATATTTTGAAGGCGTTGTTTGGCTGCAGGCAAGTAGTATTCATCCCGGCGACACGGTATATGATGGCGAGCCAGACAGTGAGTCATGTTTCTTTCCGCAAAAGCGGACAAGGGAGTTCCGGAGCGACCAGGGCACTCAGCAGAGCATTGTATGCGCAGCATGATGAGGACGGGCTCATCATATACCCTGGTGAACAAGCCTCTGCCGAAGCCATTCCCGAAGAGAGCCCGGAAGCGTTCGAACTCGCCGAAAACATCGACAATGCGGTGATCATGATGAACTATCGGGACCTTCGACTCTACAAGACGCCCTCATACTCTTCAAGGGTCAGCTTGCGAAAATTGTGGTTTGAGGTATTGTGCCTGGTGGTCTCCAATGTCTTGCGAGCTGGGGCGTCTTGGCACTTGCACCAGATTGCCATCAAGAAAAACTGCAGGGGTTCGAACATCGATGTGCCCTTGCTGCTGGGCGGGATGTTCTTGTGGGTAACTTCCAGGCTCGAGCAGATATTTGCCACGGGGAACGAAATCGTGTTCTTCTGCAAGATGTCTGAAACCCTCGATGACAACTACTTCAAGGACAATGGCTGGGGGCTGGCTCAAGCCATCCTGATTCTCGTTGTCAAGTTGGCGGTGGAGGCTTATGTAGCGTGGTCTGGCTGGCATTTCATCGTGGTGTCAGGCTCAAACGAAGACATAATTTTGAACTGCCTCGCAGCCGGCTTCATCAGCGACATTGACGAGATGATCTTTAAGGTGTTCGCTAGCCCCTACGCAAAGGTTCTCGTGAAGAATGCTCCGACGGTGCCCCCCTTTCACGATGGTCGTTGCTTCGGCTCAATTGGAAAACTTCTTTCGCAGCTGGTCTTTGGCCTGAAGCTGGTTTTCATGGTTGGAGCATGCATCGGCACTGTCGGAGCATTTTACTCACTGAAGGTCTGCAGTGATTAGTCGGCACGTTCCAACCTGAATTCGTGCACTTGAGCTGCAAAAGCTCCTATCGAGTCCCCGCGGAAAGCCCGCGGAACGTTTCCAACTTGAATGATCTCGCGCCCTTGAGCTGCAAAGTTTTCAATCGCAGCCTATGAACTGAATGAATCGGGTCCAGAAGAAAGACCGCATTTGCGCAGGAGATGTACCGAGCCGTTCCCGAGCCCCACTCACCTCTCACTTTCGCCTCGCAAGGAGCCCGACATCATCCTCTCACAGCACTGAGCACTTCAAACCGACTCTGTTCTACAACTGCCTGTGACTTGGGTGGGGTCGTGGTTTTCTGTTGTCGTTTATTGCACCTCAATCCCCCCACAGCAAAAATCCGACCAACAATAAACAGTAAATGCCAAACCCGACCAACAGGAAACAATAAATGCCATACTTGTCTCCATCCCATATATATATATATATATATATATGCTTTTGTTTATTTACATATATAGCTGAGACAAAAAGCTGAACGAGATTCTATGGAAAGCGTACTCTGGGCTGGGCATTCCAGACTGCATTCTGGGGACATGCTCCGGGGGACCTCTCCCGTGTTGTGCATTCCAGTGTCTCGGCTCTGGAAATGTGCTGTAGACCGGGCGTGGAAAAGGGTTTATATAAATTAGTGAGGAACAAAAGGCAAGAAAACTACCAAATCACACATGTACACCGAAAAGTAAAAACTGAAAAGTTGTTAAAACGCCAGGTGCAAAAGAGCCTCCGAACGGAAACAACAGCATCTTGAATATGAAACCTTAGACCCCCAAGCTCTATACACCCTTCATCAGCCCCAAACCTTGAACTTCGACCCTTGAACCCTCACAGGTGTAATCTATAAATCACCGGAAGCAAAACCCACGTCACAGCAGGAGGTTGATGAATCGCGACACGAAGGGTCCAAACAGTTCAGAACCCCAAACCCTTAAACCTTAAACCCGTGTTGTGGGTTTGGGGTCCAGGGGCTTGTGCTTGGAGGATCATGGGACTTAGTAACTGGGGTTATAAATAAGGTAACTATACTTATCACTCCATTTAGGGTACTTATAACCTTACTTACTAAGTCCCATGATCCTTCAAGTAGTACCCTAAACCCTAAACCCTATAGATCCCGTTAAGGAGCCCCTTTTAAGGAACCTCACTTACTAAGTCCCATGATCCTCCAAGTGGGCCTTTGATCGATGGTTTTTGTGTCCGTTTCGAGGTTTGTCGCGTTGAGGTCACTCGGACCTAGAGTAGGCCCTTATTCCCGTTTTGGGGGGTTCAGGTTCCCTTATAAGCCCCTTTAAACCAAAAAGGGCACCGCTTTTATTCCTAGGCTACTCTTGGGTCTAGGTCATGTACATTCCTTCAGGGTCACCCCCGTCCCTACAGTACCTATATAGGATCCATTCTAGCAGCCACTTTCAGTGTCTGTTTTCTGTATATAAGCAAAACATACAAACTAAGGAGATATGAGGAATATACCACGAGAATTGGCAATTAAATAGGTTGGAATTGTTAGATGGCAGATAACAAGATACATCTGGATCAATGATTCCATCAGTGTTTTTGCACATACAACACCTACCTTTGTCTACTTACGTACTTGCACCTTGAATGCACTCTGTCTCGAGGTACTTGCTGGCGCCGGCGAGCTCAGACGCATAGAAAGAAACAAGGGCCAGCAATGGGATGCACTCCGTGTCTTCGTCCCAAGACTGAGCATCTCAGGGTTTGCACTATTATAGTACATTATGCGATATTAGTTTATGTTTTATTACATTGAAGAGTTCTGCTACAACCATCGTTGCGGTTCTTGGAGATCGCGAAAGAGTTCAAGCTTCGGCTTAGGCTCTGGGGTCCCGGGCCAGGCGACATCAAAAGATATCAAAAGAGTGGACAAGACTGACTCTAGGGTTTCGGGTTTAGGGTTGAGGGCCACGGCGACTAAGACAGAAACCCTGTAACAAACAACCCTGAACCCTAAACCCTGTAACGAGGAAAGCTAAACCCTAAATGCTTGTCTTTCTGCACTGCCTGGACGCCAGTCGAAGTAGAGGTGCCCGTACCGGAACGGAGGAGAGCTCAGCGCGTAGGAAGCATTCATAAGCTTGGCTGTCCTATCAGGCATACGTGCTCCAAGTGGTTTGGTCTTTGGATCTATCTGTTGCAAGGGTAGGATTGTAGAGCTTTCACGATTTCACGCGTTGAAAGAAAACTCATCCACAGTGTACTGGGTTTGAAGAAGCTGGTCCTTGACAAAACCAGGCTATGACGAGTTCGGCAGCGCGCGTGCGCTCACAGCCCATACCCCGAACCCCAAGCTGAAAGCACCAATATACCCTCAAGCTCTAAACCCCAGGCAGATATGCAGCATCGTTGCTTCGCTTGACAGCCTGTCGCGTTTTGTGCTCGCCGCTTCAGCCACTCTCGGAATCGCGAAGTGTATCCCCTCCCGTTCAATGCAAAGCCTACAGGACCCCTACTCTATTTGCCCAGGACCCTACATTACCGTGAACCTGAGGCAGTCATGATCTGTGTTTAACCGCACAGGGAGGGGCGAAATTGGTTTCATGCTGTAGGGTTGGCGAGGACAAGAGTTTTGTGCTATCAGCCGACGATACACGGTTTAGGGTTTAGGGTTTAGGCTTCCTGCCTTGCTAATCCCGGCGGACATCATGGTTCGGCTTCATCTGGCAAAGGCCATGCACGGCAGGCACAGAGGGTTTGAACAACTGTTTGAACACCGGAGCCTCAGGACATCCGTGAGATCTCCCCGACCGAACATTCCGAGCATTTTGCAGAACTGCCCAAACCCGTTCAGAGTGACAAGCCGCATCTCAGCAGTTTTCGGTGTCTGTGTCCTGCTGGATTCGGCTTTAGGTTTCAATGCTTCGGCTCGTATTCTGCATACGTTTTCTGAAGTATGCAACAAGCTCTTCCAAAGCACTTGGCTTTAGGAGCTCGAAAAGGAACCGCAGCCTGCAGCACCCTAAACCCTTTCGCCCTAAACCTCAACCCCCGCGCGATGATCTGCAGTGATCCTGCCCCACAGGTGGAATGCAGACAAGCCGTTCATGAACTCCCTGACCATTCACAGGTGGAAGGTGGGGATTCAGGGACCCATCATTTCAACTGCGTTGCCCTGTCGGAAGCAGGCAATCCCAAAAGGCGGTCTTATGTAGGCTTCACCTATAGTCTGCCTTGTAGTCCTGTTTTTTGTTTGTTGAATTGTTGATCCTGCAATGTCGTGAACTTCAACCGGGACGGCAGGTAAAGTCTCAGTGGGTTGGGTTTAGATCGTAGGGTTTCGGGTTTAGCGTAGGTCGGGGTATAGGGTGTTGTGTGTAAATTAGGAGTCCTTGGTACCTGAGCCCTAAACCCTAAACCCTAAGCCCTCATTCAAGTGTTGGGTCCATGCCCCCACTGTTACTATGAACATAAAGAGACTCGAATTCCAGAATCCCTGCTTCAGAAGTGCTGGTCCCGGAAGAAGTGGTTGAATCATGTACTAGAGGGTCTACGCAGGGTTTTTTACACGCAAGGTTCAACGCGGCGCCGGTAAGTAGAGCTTTTTCCTCACGAGGCGCTTAGCTCAGCTGTCATGAGACCCGTCTCTCTCCCACAGGCTTTCACAATCTTTATTTGATGTTGATGTTGGCGAATACCCGGGCCCCCACCTCGAAGCCGAAGCCCAACACCTCAAAGCCCGACACTATCTACACCCTAAACATCATACGCCTAGACTCCTAGAGCCCCAAAGCCTTGAACCACAAACAAGAGCCTTAAAACCCTAAGCCCTAAACTCATAAGCCCCAGGAGGAGGCCCATCATACCCTATTTTGAACCGATTTCCGTTTAGCCTAACCCTAGGGGCCCAAAGGACCCAATAATCAGGTACTCGGTTTTAAGATAGTAGTTATGTAGGTCACTATTTTGGAGAGTATATGATAATCAGGTACTTGGACCCTTAGCCTTAACCCTGAATAACCTACCTTTTCGGGGTTCCTCATTATGATTTCTTTATATAAGTCCTTAAGAATGTAGGTTTTTCGGGGTTAAACTTAACCCTAAACCCCTGGTCTGAAACCAAGCAGGCGCGCTTCCCCTTTTGGCCTCCTCCGGATGCTTCACCGGTCACCCCCATCGACTCCTGGCCGACGGTTTACTAGGTATCGATTTGGGATAGTCTTTGATTTCCCTTATTGTGTAGTTTAAAGCCCCCCCCCCCAATTATACATGTGTTTAGTTTGCTGTGTCGTTTGCTATACTACCTCAGCCCCAAATAACCTACTTGTTTAAGGACTTATGTAAAGAAATCATACTAGGGAGCCCTAAGACGGTGGGTTATTTGGGGTCCAGGTATATCCTAAAGTTCTAGATCATCTTTGGGGCTGTTGAAATCGACACCAGGTTCATATGGGCATTGTGCACCCAACTGATATATTCATGAACGCAGGGTTTAGGGTTTAGGGTTTAGGAGAAGACTAACACTGAATCCTATACCCAACAGGTGCACGTGTTACGTATGCCTTCAGTTTGTTCTGGGCAGTGCAGAACACAGTCCACTCTGTGTTCCCGTCGGCTTTCTGATCCCCAGCCATTTCAGATGTCTGTGCTGTTGCTCCTCGGAGCTCGAACCCACTCCTTAAACAAAAGAACCCACTCTAAGCCAGGAGCTCCAACCTCTTAGCTTCGAGAGATGCCCTGTAAACCAAACGTCGAAGTGCCCAGAGACTCCAAAACCCCTTAATTAAGGAATATACCTTAATTCATATTAGGGATCTGACTATAGTTTACGGTATATTCCTTAGTTAAGGGGTTTTGGAGTCTCTGGGTGCCTGGAGCCCCAGACCACAGAGCCCCCAGCCGAGCCTAAGAGCGCCATGCTGCTACACAAGAACCCCCCCCCGGGCCCCCCTTCCGGGACCGGATGCTTCATGATAATTCATGTTGCTTCTCGGAAACACCATAGGCTTACGGTATGTTACGGTTTAGGAGCCCCCCCCCCCCACACACACACACACACACAAATAAATGCCGAAGCCCAGTCCGAATGTTCTTGACGACATGATCCACTCCTGAGCAGTGTCAGGAACCGTGGGGAAAGCAGTTCTTCGTGTGGGGCCCGGACGAGGGTTTATCGAGAAGAAATCGTCCAAGCTGCAAGATGCAGGGTGGGAGGAATCTACCTAAACCTCCAAGCATAGGCAAAATATTCCCCCAACGACATTAACACGCTATTATTCTACGTACTTGTTGGGGTCCAGGTGGTAGCAGGCTCAGGTTTAGCGACGCTTGCTCAGGAATCAGTTCCAGCAAATGCAAGCATGCAACTCCAAGATGTGATGTATGGGGGTTGATTAACCCTAGGGATCTAAGGACTCACATATTAAGGCGTTTGGGCCCAAAGACCATACTATATAAGGCTTTTGGGCTATTTTGATCCCTAGGGTAATTTCATGGCTATCTTTACGCAGCTGCATCTAGTTGCGCGTGCGTGATCGCAAAACCCTCCGGGTTCACGCCTTCGCTCACTTTAAATTTCGGCTCAGGCATTTGCTGAGAGAATACCCTTCACTCGCCTCGCGCTTCTATCAATTCGCCAGAGCCTGTAAAGTCATGCCGAGCTCTCGCTTCTTCGCGAAAGCCGCAAAGCTCTACGAATACGTCTCCTCGCCAAGGAAGTGGCTGGGTGTAGTGCTATATAGTGCCATAAACATGATTTTGTAAGTCGGGGATTGGGGCATCAATTCTCAAGAAATGTGACGCTGGAGAGGTGGCAAGAGGCATTAGCGGGTGCGGTCGCAGGCGCAGAAATGGACGTTTGAGAGTGATCGGGTGTCATGGTCTTGACATTCGTTTTCTGGAAAGTGTGCGTGTCTTGCCAGACGTGACGACCGCCTAGACCCCAGTCCCTCAAACATATAGACCCTAAACCCTAAAGCCGTAAAGCCGACAACCCTAAAGTAATGGGCCCTAAAAATCTCAGTCGGAAAGAGGTGTCGAAAAAACAACACCTGAAATTACGAAACCCTGCACCCCAAACCCTAAAGCCTGTGAGCACTTGTAGAACCTTTAGTATAGAACCCGACACTCCAGAAAGAGTCCTTACCGGAACCCCCTCGCCCTGCGCCCCCCAAGTCCTATAATCCTTATCCCTCTCATAGTACCCCTGGTAGTACTCCTTGTAATCCCCCTTGTAGTACAGTAAGTTCCCCTTAACGGAACCCCTAGAGTAACCCTTATAGCTGCTCTTATTAAAGGAACTAAAAGGAAGCCTAAAGGACCGTAACTATACGAATCTTGCTAGGAGCCGTTAAAGGACCCTGCAAGGAACCATAAAAGGAACCGTCAAAGGACCCGTTACACGAGCCCTAAAAGTACCTTTAGGAGCCCTTAAAGTGGCCCGTTGAAGAAGTTGCCTCAAAGGACCGTTTAAGAGCCTTTAGAGGAGCCCTTAAAGGGACCCTAAACCCTAAATCCTAAATCCTAAGAGCCTGTAAAGGAACCGTTACAGGAACCCTTAAACGAGCCCTTGGAGGTTCCCTTTGAGGGACCCTTAAAGGGACCCTTAAGGGAGCCTTTAAAGGAGCCCTGGATCTCCGGCCGGCCTGCGCAGCCCCACCGGCCCGAAGGCAGCGAAGGCCCCGGGACCGAGCGCAGCGGTAATGCAATGAATCTACTGTTGTATATGATATCTATGTGTGTATATATATAGACGCATATAAGTGGTAGTTCTTTATAGTAAGATCTAGTATATTAGAGGACCATGATATACTATAATATTAATAACCCTGATACAACTATGATACAACTTTGTTATACTACTGTCATGCTACGATATATGAAAGAACAGAAAACAGAGTAGTGTGAGAGTGCAGTAGTTATATTTAAACCTGATCAGTATAAGTTACAAGCATTGAACCCGAATCGAACATATAGTATGAGAAGGCATAAGATAGTACACTAAAAGGTGCTATACTATACTGTTGTATGCCATAGTGTATCATGAACGGCTTTACGATACTGTACTGTCTTCTACTGTGCTATACATCGCTATGCTAGACGAGACTAGACTATACTAAGCCATACCATCATACACCATACTGCAATACACTGTACTATGCTACACACTGTGATGCAATCTAGACCACTGCATTATATTATGTTAAACTCTTGCTTTACAATGGGCAGACTAGGCTAGATTTTACTACACCCGACTATGCCAGGATATACTGCACCATACATGATACATTACATATTTAACACAGCTTAGCTCCTTCTAGTCTATGGTTTAATACAATATAGCAGAACAGGATTTACATAGCACACCAGCACATAGTATCGTAGAGTGTAGCATAGTATCCAACTTAGTATGGTAAATTGTTGTGTAATGCACCAGGCACTTCCTTGAGCTTACTTGTGTGTTATACTGTTTCATATAACATGGTTATTTATACGGCCATATTCTATACAACAATGTGGCCTTATGCAATATGATGCACGGTCATATACCACAGCCTGACATGCTATAACGTACGATACAGTAACAGTGAGAGACAAACGCAGAACCTAGTGTAGTTATACGGCAGCTTCAAAGCAACAAACCATCAAGCGCTACCAAACAAATTCTGAAACATGATGTTCTTTCATAGAAACGTAGTATCACACAACATAGATGTCATCGCACAACATAGTCCAGCATCGCCTGCTATAACAAGCCGACACGTAGATATCAAGCATTAGTACAGTCATGTAGCAATACATTCAAATGTAGCAGACATACAAGAATGTGGCATAGCATATGGCAACTTTACCATATAACCTAAATCTCTAGAGGAGCATGTTCAAAGCAAAAACATAGCACACGCTGTATACCATAGTGTGATGCAATGTAGTCTTGTAACGTGCAATATTGTGGCATCATTCACAAAAGTGTAGTTTGTTATCCCCGATGGCATGTCAACCGCATAGAATCGACTTTCTGTATACATTACAGTACGGCACTATATGACAAACGGCAGAGTTAATTTGAGAACATGACACAATCTTAATCACATACGGAAACATAGTATAGCGTATAGTATTAAACCTATACTGTAACAGAATACAGCAGAACAGAATAGATGTAGCATAGTGAAACATGATTAATTGTACACTGTACTGTAATGCAAAGTAAGATAAGACGAGATAAACATGTTACGACTCTAAAGTCAAGCCAGGGCTAACCATTCCCACTGAGGGCGCGCGCATACTGAGCCAGGTCGAAGTGAGCACGCCGGTTCCTTCTGCTGCGCCTGCAGGCTCCTATACTTTCCTTATAATAATTACCTATACTATTTTGGGGATTCCTTACTGTAATTATAGTATACTATACCCCAAAACCCTGTTCTAATTGTTAAGGCCCCTATATTACGAGACCGCAGCCTGTACTTTGCATAAGGAGGCCGCATAGTGTTTTCTGTGTCCGAAAGTGTTTGAGCAGATGGGTTTTGGGATCTGCTCCCTCGTCGGCTCTGCGTGCCAGGACGCGAAGAGCTTCCAAATCTCTTGGGATCGCGCCGCCCATCAAAGATGAGAGCAGAAGAGCCCCCGGCAGATGCAGCTAGGCGGCAACATGTCCCGCTTCCACCTGACGAGCCCCCATCACAAGAAGGGCCATAGCGCGTCCGTAGCACGTTTGTCGGTCAGTTCGTGGGGGAGGGAGGCGGGAGCATCCGTACGACCTAGTCCATGCCTTGCTGAGCTGGTATGGAAGATTGCGACAGGTACTATCAGGTGCATACAGTTGATATCTAGCCATGTACCAGCAACGGGGAGCGGTACAACATGTGAGGTCCACACTTTCGGTCACAGGGTTGAGTCCACAAAGCGAGAACCCTGCGTTTGCTGCAACCACTTTTCTTGTTCATGCCACCGGCAGAGGCCATTTTTAATGCCGGGGTTCGGAGTTCGGTCTGCGTTCGCCAAGCCGTTTTCCAGTTTGCATTACCACAACACTATGAACTCTTAAGCCCATAAGGGTAGTTCTCTAATCATGATACACTTTCAGGGTCCTTGTTACAAGGGTGCCATACTAACAGGGACCCAGGGACCCTAATTTAGAGAACACCCGTTTGTAAACTCTAAAGGATACTACAGAAACCCTTATAGATCCCTTCAAAGAGCCCTAAGAAAGGACCCTAAACCGTATAAACACTAACCCCAAACCCTAAACCCGAAACCCTAAAACCCTAAACCCTAAAGCCGTAAACCCTAAGCCCTAAAACCCTAAACCCTAAAACCCTAAACCCTAAACCCTAAACCCCTAAACCCTAAAGCCTTAAACCCTGAACCCTAAACCCTAAAACCTAAACCTTGAGCCTCAAGCATCCGAGGAGGCGATGTCCTATGCCTTGGCAGCGCGCCGGGCATTCTTGGAGGCGGCATTGCCCGGGTTGGGGTCGGCCGCTTCTTCAGTATACCCAGAGGCTCCATGTATGTATGTATATATATATATATATATATATATATCTACATATGTATATATGTATATACATATGTGTATATATGTAGAGAGGTATGTACACTACTACTATGGAATTAGGTCCCTAAAGCCATTGGAAAGATACAAAAGCCCAACTTGTTCTTTCCACTCGAGATCGGTGGTAGTAGAGGTTGCTGTAAGGCCTGTCGACTGTCGAGCTGTGGGCTTCGAGGCAGCCATGGATTTGTGGGTTTGCGAGTTTAGGGTTTGGGGTTTTGGGGGGCATGGTCTTCAGGGGCGTAGTTCCATAATGGTAGTATCGTTCCCCAAGGTCCAAGTACCTGCTCATCATACACTCTCCAACATCCTAACCTACATAGCTACTACCCTAAAAACAGAGTACCTAGTTATTGGTCCCTTCAGACCGTTTGGTTTAGATTTGCCCGGAATCCCCCTCTGGGGTTTCCGCTGCTTCGCCACCGACACCTGGATGCATACCGGAATGCATACTCCCGTTTTTCAACCTCGAGGCTTTTACATCCTTGCTCTGCATCCCACGCATGTTCGCTACATTTCTCGATAGGATACGACGATGCATCTCCTGGTTGATCTGTGTCTCAACTCGGGTTCTGTTTGCACTTGAGTCGTTG